TCTTTCACCACACTAATCCAGTCTGTATGCTGAGAAAATAATGTAAGAAACTGCATTATATGAAATAGAATGTGGCATCAGGATTAGAGGAAGACTCATTAACAACCTGCAACATGCAGATGGTACAACCCTGTTTGCTAAAAGTGAATGTTGTTGTTGTGATGTGATGTGGAGTTAGTTCCAACTCATAGTGACCCTGTACAGGGTTTCCGAGGCTGTAAATCTTTAGGGGAGCAGAACACCTCATCTTTCTCCCACGGGAACAGCTAGTAGTTTCGAACTGCTGACCTTGCCTTTCGCAGTCCGATTCGTAACCACTACGCTACCAGAGCTCCTTAAAAGTGAATAAGACTCTGAAATTTGATGAAGATCAAAGTCTACAGCCTTCAGTATGGATTGCACGTCAGTGAAGAAAACAAAAATCCTCACCACTGGACCAATAAATAATATCATGATAAATGGAGAAAAGGTTGAAATTGTCAAAGACTTCATTTTGCCTGGATCCACAACCAACCCTCATGTAAACGGCAATCAATAAACCAAAGATGTATTGTTTTAGACACATGACTGTACAAGACGTCTTTAAAGTGTTTAAGATAAAAAGTATCAGTTAAAGGACTGACGTGTGCCATGGTATTTTCAGTTGTTCTTTATGCATGTGAAAATTGGACAATAAACAAGGCAGACAGCAGGGAAATCGCTACATTTGAATTATGGAGTTGGAGAAGAATATTGAAAGTACCATGGACTGCCAGAAGAACAAATCTGTGTTGGAAGAAGTACAGCCAGAATGTTCCTTAAAAGCCAGGATACGTGGACAGATGGAGTGGCTGGGGACATGGGACTCAGGGAGGGAGAGGAGCTGTTTGCTGACAGCCGGGGGGGGGGGGGGTCTGTGGGGTGTATCCTTTGGTTATTTGATGATACATGGAGGGGATTGTAATCATTGCAATGAAATGTAATACGATAGGATGAATGTGAAGCTGAAGTAGGACAGAGGCAAATAATGATACATGCACAACCCTGGAACAACAGGGCTATGGGATACAGAGATTTAGACATGGTTGGAATGGGGAAAAGCAAGGCTTTTCCCCATTAAGATGCTTGGCTGTCTTTTGAATCTTGGTTTCCCTGGCATACCACTATAAAATAGACACTGGAGGGGGAGAGAAAGGAATAGCCAGAAATATCACCATAGAAAACTTGTAAGTCTGTCTTCTGCCTATAACTGATTGGAATACCTAAAATGGGGCTACAGCGTGCCCAGTGAAGGAGGCTTCCTGCGGAGTCTCTGTATTACACAAGACCATACGTGGATTCCTGAACAGCATCCAGAATCTTCTGAGGGGAAATTTCCACTTGAAAGGACAAGCAGACCAGCCTGGAGTGGCCAGAAGAACAGAAGATACTTCCTGAAAGAAAGACTGACAGGAAAAATACAAAACAGTACAGGCAGATCGACTGTTACTAAAAGAACAAACAAGTGGCTCACCCAGGAGACATCAAGGCAAGTGGTCGGGTCCCCTCAGGGCAAATCTCCTTCAAAGGCTGGGACCCAATGGAAATACATGCTGTGATTGATTCATTGCCGATAGGGGGAAGTGAGGGAAGGGCAGCAGTAGAGCTGCGAGCTAAGCCCTACAACATTCAGTGGACTACTGTGAACCCTGCTAAAGACCTGGCTGGCCAGCAGTGTGGCAAGACCTGGGGACTCTTGGGCCCAGTGTCAGTGACATAGCCACAGAGGACTAGAGTGGAGATTGAAGCATCCAGCTGATAAGGAGAGAGGGCACATGGATAAATACACCCACACTTGCAGATAATACCCACCTGACCTGGCTTCAATGGCTAGATGATCAGAGCTCAACCAGCAGAAGAAAAAAGAGGAAAAAAAGAATAATCTCATACAATTTGATGAACTTGACTATACCTATGGAAGCAGTAGCTCAAAAGAGGGACCAAATCTTCACAGCGAGGATCACTCCCACCTCCTCCACCCAAGGAGAGGACAGGGATGGGCAACTTGGACATCGGCTACCCAGAATGGGTAGGGGGTGGGGGAGGGTTACAGAGGCAAGAAGTGACTGGCTTAGAAGCTTTCAAGAGGGAACCTAGATCCAGAGGGCACAGAGGAAGGTAGAATCTCCACTGAGTAGTATCCAATCTGTCTAGGCGGGGCTGAGGAAAGGCGATGCAGATAGGTCTCTCGCAATACAATGGTGAATAATTGTTATCAGGACTGATTGTGAGGGCTGGATATATAAAGGTAGCCGTTTTATAGCTAAGGGAGGGGAGGGATTAATTTTGCAGTCTAGGGGCGGAGGTCTCTGGGACCATCAAGGGAGAAGAGCGGAGAATGGAACCCTACCCAGGGAAACGGTAATGCCAGAGATGGAGGCAGAGATAACAAAGCAGAGAAATGGAGCGGTTGGGGACTTTGGACCCAGAGAGGGAGAGGGCCTATGTGCTGATACCGTGGGGCAGGCTTGTGGGGTATACCCTGTGGTTGGTGGATGATGCATGGAGGGGATTGTAACCATGGCAAGGAAATGATATACGATGGGATCATTGTGAAGCTAATGTTCTCCCATGTGAACTATCACATAACTCAAAATAAAGCATCCTATATGCTTCAATTAAAAAAAAAAAAGCCAGGATAGCCAGACTTGACCTCTCCTATTTTGGACATGTTATCAGGAGGGGCCAGTTCCTGAAGAATATCATTCTTGGTAAAGTGGAGAGTAAGAAAAAACTAGGAAGACCCACAATGAGATGAATTAGCACAGTGGCAGCAGCAATGGGCTCAAGCATAGCAACAATTGTAAGGATGGCCCAACACCGAGTAGTGTTTCATTCTGTTGTGCATAGGGTTGCTAAGTGAGTTGTAACCGACTTGAAGGCACCTGACAAGAACAACAACATGACTGTTGTCTTGGATGTATGTGTGGAAGACAAACGGAATCCTAGGCAGGAGAATGCATACAGGTTTGGGAACTGAATAGAAGTCCAACCACCAAGGATGGAAGTTTAGTTAGGAGGGAACCTGGGCTGGACACCTGTTTCCTGTCCTCTTTCTGAGGCCCTATTTTCTACTACCATCTGGTGGTCACATCTATAAATAACAGCTCTCAGTGAGCCTTCTGTGAAACAGAAGTTCATAGATTGGTTTCAAAGAATGATGACCTCTCAGAATAGCATGCATATTTGTGTATATGTTATTTGCTTTATTTTGCCAAGAAGATCCAAGAGCAGATACTTTAAGAGGTGTATGGCCTCTGAAAGGCTGAGAATCACTGCCCGAAAGGCTTTTTTTAGGACAGCAAATGTTTTAATGAATCATCAGAGATGGAAAAGCAGACTGTGGTCCCTACCTGCTCAGTACCTCATGCTCTAGTCCCACAAGGTACTTACACAGAACACAGAATCCCATTCTGAAAAACTAGTCTTGTAAAAGACAAGTAGAGCTTCAGAGACAGATAACAAAACCAACTGCTGTTGTCAGTTCCACCCCATGCAGACCCCATGTGTGTCAGAGTAGAATTGTGCTCTAGGAGTTTTAATGGCTGATCTTTGGGTAGTAGATTGCCAGACCTTTCTTCCCAGGCTCCTGCAGCCTTTCAGTTAGCAACTGAGCACATTAACTGTTTGCAGAAGGACTCTTAGAAATCATCAAGGCCCACTCGAACACACTTAGGAAAGGAGCTTGGTAAGGATCACAGAGTTATCAGTACCAGCAGTGGTACCTGAGCATAAGTCCCTTCACTCTAGAAGCTCTTTGTCCTGCTCAATCTTGCCTTATTTCTCAAAAGCCTAATTAAAGAAAAAAACTTCTTTTCTATTCTGAGTGTAGTTCCCAAACAGGAAGACATTTTTCCTATAGATTGCTAGTCTTCTAGAAAGAAGTATGTTAGCCTCTAAATGCCTGTCAACAACCCATATACCTGTAGAAGATAAATTGATGGTCTTACATTTGAAAATATATAATATATAACATTAACAACACCCATAAATTGGTATACTTTACAGAGGGAAAAACTGACCCAGAGAGGTGAAATGACTTGCTGTTTTCTGTATTTAAACATGTATATCCTGTAGTGTGGAGTCTTGGTATGGTGCCATAGGATAAGCACTTGACCTCAAGGTGGATTAGAACAGTAAGGTCAGCAGTTCAATTCTCCCAGCTGCTTCTCAGAAACCCTATACAGGGTTGCTATAAGTCAGAACCAACTCAACAGCACTTAGCAACAACAAACATCGTGTGGTATTAAAACAAATGGTGATTTTTATTTGATTACATGCTTACTGAATGCGTGAACAAGTGGGCAGTGTAACTGGCTTGTTGATACATGTTTAGGGTCAGACTAATCCCTGCAAATAACAACCATTTGTGAGTAGCAGGAGAGAGAAATGCTAACATTAATTGAACATATGTATATTGCATCAAGATAGTAATTTCTAAATAATCTTCAAAGTATCACCATTTTGCAGATGGATAAACTAAAGCTAAGAAAGAGACAGTTCCTTGCCTAATGGCATACAACTTGTTGTTAAATGCCATCAAGCTGGTTCCAACTCATAGCCACTCTGTATTGTGTTTCCAAGGAGCAACTGGGTTTGCACTTCCGGCTTTGCAGTTAGCAGTCCAGTATATACCCTACAGCACTACACGAGAACCCCATCACACAGTTGTTGTTAAGTGCCTTTGAGTCGGTTCCAACTCATAGCAACCCTTTGTAGGGTTTCTGAGGAGCAGCTGTTGAGTTTGAACCACCAACCTTGCGGTTCACACCAATCTTGTAGTCCAGTGCATTATGCTGCAGGGCCACACCAGGGCCCCATCACACAGCTGGTACCTGACAAATCAAATTGAAGCTAAGCCTCAGGTCTGCCTGAATCCTCAGCCTATGATTTTTCTGTGCCACTTAGCTGCATGGAGATTTGAACATGCCAGTCCTCGTCTCTTCTGACGCCCTGCCTTTTGTCTTCTTTCTCTCCCTCAGGAGTGCCAGCTTCTCTCAAGGCACCAGGGCCTCGTTTCTCATGAGGAGCGACACAGCTGTACAGAAACTTGCTCAGGGCAATGGGCACTGTGTCAATGGGGTTGGTGGTCAAGTTCATGGCTTCTACAGCCTTCCCAAGCCTAGCCGGCACAATACAGAATTCAGAGACAGTACATACGACCTCCCCCGGAGCCTGGCCTCTCATGGCCCCACCAAGGGAAGCCTCACCGGTTCTGAGACGGATAATGAAGACGTGTACACCTTCAAGACTCCCAGCAACACCCTGTGCCGGGAGTTTGGGGACCTCCTGGTGGACAATATGGATGTCCCGACCACTCCAGTGTCAGCCTACCAGATCCCTAGGACATTCACGCTGGACAAGAACCACAATGCCATGACAGTAGCCACTCCTGGAGACTCGGCCATAGCTCCTCCACCCCGGCCCCCTAAACCAAATCAGGCGGAAACACCTCGATGGGGCAGTCCTCTGCAGAGACCTCCAATCAGTGAAAACAGTAGATCAGTTTCTGTAGCTGCCACCATCCCCAGACGCAATACCCTCCCTGCCATGGACAACAGCCGACTTCACAGAGGTTAGTATAAGTTCCAGTTGAGACTGAAAGGGAGAGGGAGGTAGCACAGGCTTCTCAGTAGTTTGCTAGGCCTTGGTCACCCATGGCCAAGGGGACTTGAGATCACCCAGGTCATCCATGCTGACTGCTTTAGGCATCATCTACCCACTAGAGGCCCACAGTGGCAAAAACATAGCTGACCTTACCTTGGAGAAGTGAACACTAGTAAGGGAGCCAGCCCATTGTTGGCTAACCACAGTACAGTATATTGTGGGTTTAAAAAATCAAATCATAGTATTTCATCCACTTACAAATCAAACTAAAGATTAAAAAATAAAGTTAGAGCACCAGTCCAAACTGGAGCCAAACTTATGTGGACTAACAGTCTATTAAAAGAAAATTAGGTCCTCTAGATATTTTCTGAATCACACTTGGGTCTCTTCGCTTAAGTCTGAACTTCAATTTTAATTCAATCCTACTGTCATTTGTTTTCCAGTGAGAGTGTTTCTCTCTGTTTGATGAAAGAGTGAAATAATGCTAATTCGTTTCCTTGTACATCCATAGTTTGTGAAGCCTTTTCTTATCCATCCTGTTGTTTGAACCATGCAATGACAGCATTAGGTGGGACAGAGCATCACTGTCTCCACGACACATAAGGCCCACTGCAGCTAAGAGACTGTTTCAGGCTTGCAGACTCAGTCCATGGCAGAGATGGGGCCCAGACTCTGGTGTCCTGACTCCTGGTTCAGAACTTGTGGCACAGTCTTTCAGTCTGTCAACGATTTGCTCAATCACACTGTGCTTTGGCAATGGGATGCTAGAGACATGGAGAAGACATATATATCCCTGCCCTTCACTAAGTTCACATCGCTAGTTAAGGAGATAAAGCCATTGTGTATAAATTAGTACAAGTGCTATCATTACTGTAAATACAGGTAGTACCTGGGACTGTAGAACCGGTGGTGAAGGCCAAAAGCATGAACAGAAAGGTGCCTAAATCAGGGCAGGAGTTGCCAAGGAGGTCTCTCTAGAGGATGAAGTGGAAGGAGGTCTGGACATCTGGGATGAATGTTTGAACTGGGGAGTGATAATGCTAGACATAATCCCTTACCACTTGAGGTTGAGAACAGTGTCTTGTACAAGGTCAGTAAGGCCCTGAGCAATACTAACAAGGGTGTGGGGAAGTGTAAGTGCTTATGGATTTTCTGTTCTCTGTTGTAGCTTCTTCCTGTGAGACCTACGAGTACCCCCAGCGTGGTGGAGAGAGTACAGGCCGCTCTGCTGAATCCATGAGTGATGGAGTCACTTCTTTCCTGGTGAGTGGGGTCTAGCCTGGGGTCCTCAGGCTGGCTCAAGCAAGTTCAAGATCATGTTCCATGGAACTAGGAGCACAACCCCAAAGAGTGATGGTATTTTTCTCTTGGGACCCTACCTAGGTTCTCTATTCAGAACCCCAGGTTCTGTTTTTGGACAAGTGAGGTACAGATATCCTAGTCTGGAGAAAATGTCTATATTTAGGTAGGGCTCCAAGGTTCACCACACCTGTGGGTAAGTAATGGAGTCTAGAATGCAGAGGACTCAGCCTCTGGGATAGTGGACTTTTAAGGCAACATACCTTTCCATGAGGTCTCACCTAGAAGAGGGATGCTAAAGTGTGAGACTCTGCCAGGAATGGGACTCAGAGTCTGGCCAAGGAGCCAAATGATGGTTTGAGTCCAATGACCCAGGTTGCTCTGGGGGTGGAATTGAACACAGTTGTCCAAGGTCCCAGTCAAGAAGGGGCCTAGCTTCAGGCAGACTGTGACAATATGTAGCCAAGGCAGAATAAAGAAGCTCAGTTACATGCCTGGGAAGACAGCAGGATTTGGAGGAGGCTATAGCAGGGTTCGGGAGTCCTGATATGGCATTGTAGGCTCAGCGCTCGACTGCTAGGTCAGTTTGAACCACAGGGTCGGCAATTCAGACTCACTAGCCACTCCTCAGAAACCCTACACAGCATCGTCGCTAAGAGTTGGAACTGACTCAATGTTACTTGACAACAATAGTAGGGTTCTACTAAAAGAACAAACCAATCTGTGCTGGAAGAAGTACAGCCAAAATGCTCCCTGGAAGCCAAGGTAGTCAGACTTCGTCTTGCATACTTCAGATATATTATCAGGATATGTGTGAATATCCTGAAGAAGTCTATCATGTGTGGTAAAATGGAAGGTTAAAGCAAAAGAGGAAGACCCTCAGTGAGCTGGATTGACACATTGGCAGTAGCGATGGGCTTCAGTGTAGCAACGATTGTGAGGTTGGTGCAGGACATGGTAGTGTTTTGTTCTCTTGTGCATGGGTTTGCTATGAGTCGGTCCTGACTCAATGGCATCTAACAACAGCAGGAGAAAGATGAGGCTGTTTATGCCTGTAAAGATTCATAGCCTCAGAAGCCCTATACAGGGCCACTGTGAGTTAGAACTGACCCAGTGGTACCTAACATCAACCACTGCATAGCAGGGTTGCTGCATTGTACAACCTGGAGCGTTGACAGCTGGACTGGGGAAACACAGCTGACCCTGGCAGTGGTGACTCCGGACTTGAGGTAGAGTGTGTATCCTGGACCAAGTCTCGGCCATCAACAGCCTTGTACCCTGTCTTGATCCAGCATATAGTAGGCCTAACCACCAAGCGTCTTTCACACTGCAGATTGATCACAGATTGTAAGTGGATCCCAAGAGATCATGGAAACTAGAAGACTCACAGAACCTCATTTTTTCCTGCCCCCACTTTGCTTTCTTAATTGGTCTTCCCAGTGCAGCTAACTCAGACATGCCTTTTTTGCGTCATATATAAAACCTCACACCCTTGTTTCTTCTGGCCAGTGACAGCTGTCTGTCTTTCACTCTCTCTCTCCCTAGCCAGGGAAAACAGGTGTGGGCCGATCAGACAGCGCCAGTTCTGAAGACAACTATGTGCCCATGAATCCCGGCTCCTCCTCCATGGTGGCCATGGAGCGAGCAGGTGATAACACCCAGAGTGTCTACATCCCCATGAGCCCAGGGCCCCATCACTTCGACTCGCTTGTTTACCCATCCACAGCCCTTCCAGTGCACCGGGGCCCCAGTCGAGGAAGTGAGATCCAGCCACCCCCTGTCAACCGCAACCTCAAGCCTGACCGCAAAGGTAATCCCACTCTTCCCCCTTGTCCCATAGCTGAACAGTATATGGACACTGTCTGCATTTGCTTGGATCCTGGACTTCTCTTTCAAAGAAGTGGTAGCTCCTAGGGCCTATATCACCTCCATACTTACATACACACAAATACTCTAAAATCCATCTCAGTGGTCTGAGACTAGTAGTCTTAGTAGGCAGGAGTGCAGGAATCAGGAGGACAGGATAGTCTGGTTCCAGCCAGGCCCTCTGTCTTGTGGTCATTTCATTCTCAGAACATTACTTTTTCATCTGTGAAGTAGGAAGTATAACACTTATCTTCCAGAGTCATTGAAGAATATAGATAACATATCTAAAAGTGCTTTTGTAGTGTGTAAAGTGCTACACAACAATAAGAGGTTAGTATTAGACCTGGTGCTGGGCAGGCAAAACTGACAACACCATCCATTAAGAGACATATCACGATGTGTACTAGAAAACCTTGAGCTTTTAAGTCAGGTAGATGTGAGTTCCAATCCTTTTCCAGCACTTCCTAGGTATATGGTTTTGTGTGCATCATATAAATTCTCTAAGCCTCAGTTTTCTTATCTGTGAAATGGGGATAATAATCCCTGCCAGTACATAAGCATGTTTTCAATAGAATTAGACCTGCATTGAGATCAGGAAAAATGTCAGAGTTCAAGTTCCAGGTCTGCCCCTTCCTCACTCTGGTGTCCTTGGATCAAGGATATATATTCAAAGGGAGAAGTAGGGTATCCAAGCAAAGATCAGCCCCATTGATCTGCCTAACAGGGAATTTAGATCTTAGTGTATAGTGGAAGCTTCAAGGCCTCATGGCATTCCCTTCCTCTTCTGTGGGTTCCATGGCTTGGTCCAGGAGGAACAAGATATAGTCATGGTAACCATCTCCATTTCAAATATTGTTTCTTATAAAGTCACAGTCTGGGGTGGAAAATCTGTTGACAGAATATGGATCCCAAGTTTGGATTCTGAAAATACAATTACTATAGATAAGTTAAAAAAAATAACAGAATTTTCTATCTGAAGACTTGACTTAAAGGCCTATCAAAACAGGCAAATATATAACTTCACTGACTATTAGCCTGTGCAAAACCAGAATGAGTATGAAGGCATTTGTGAATTTGTATGGTTGTTAAAGGAGTCCTGGTATGGCACTGTGGGTTAATACACTGGACTTCAAAGTCGACAGTTCAGACTCACCAGCTGTTCCTGGGAAACCCTATACAAGGTCACTAAGAGTTGGAACTGACTCAACAGCATTAAACAAGCTAACCACCAGGTTAGCAGTTCAAATCCACCAAGACCCTCCTTGGAAGCCTTCTACAGGGTCACTGTGAGTTGGAACTGACTGGACAGCATACAACAACAACATGTGTGTTCTATATGTGAGGGTGGGGGTCATTATTATTGACTAACTAGTTGACTTTCTGTTTCAGCAAAACCAATACCACTTGACTTGAGAAATAATACTGTCATTGATGAGCTCCCCTTCAAATCACCCGTCACCAAGTCTTGGGCTAGGACCATGTGAGTGTCTACTTGTGGGAGAGGGTGGGTCAGAGTAAGGAAATGAGTAGAGAAAGCTGGATTCTGGTGCTAATGCTGTCATGAACTCATCATCTCTGACCGCTTGGGGCTTGGTTTCATCATCTGTGAAGGGGAAACAACTGTATTGGCCCTGCCTCCACCCAGCAGGCTGTTACCAGATCTGATAAAGGAATGTGATGCTGTGTGGGCTGAAATACCTGTGTGTGAGGGCTAGGGGCCAAGCTGTAGGCTTAAACTACAGGAGCAGCCCTGAGGCTTCCCCATGGTGTGCTCTTCCTCTTCTTCCCACAATAGCCACACCTTCAACTCGAGCTCCTCCCATTACTGCCGCCCCATCTCCACGCAGAGCATCACCAGCACAGACTCAGGAGACAGCGAAGAGAACTACGTCCCTATGGTGAGCGTGTTAGGGAAATGGGACGGTACCAGGCAGAGGAGGGGGGTGTTGAGTATATAGAAAAGCACCAAGTCAGAACTGTGCAGGACATGGAGAAGAAGGATCAGAGAGTGAACGATGGCGGAAGGTGGGTGAGTACGGGTGGGCTTGGACTAAAGCCAGATGATAAAGCACAGCTGAATACTGTCTAGAAAGTTTAGACTTTTTCTATGGGCCCAGGGAACCACAGTGGTTTCTAAGCAGGCCAAGTGATTAGCCAGGTGTTTGAGAATGATTACTGGAAGCTTACAGAGAATGACAAACGTATCCTTTGAAGTTATCTGCCTTCTTCCATCCTGTTAAAATCTTTAGAAAGTGAAAGATCTTCGTGTCCTCGTTCTGTTGTTTCCATGGCCGTGAGCATGTATGAGTGTGAGCTTTTATTGAGTCCAGCGGTAGGGACACAGATGCGTATAGAGCTCACTGTGGTAACAGCCATGATGGAGGGATGAACATCCTGAGCTATCCATCCGGAAGGGATAGCTGCCCAGCACCTGGTAGTCATTGCATAAATATTGAATTAATGAACCAACCAACCTCAAAACAGAACATGGGGCTATCACTTTTCTCTCTAGATTAGTCCTTGGGGAAAATCCTAGACAAGTTGGTACAACTGAGGAGACAGGCCCCTTGAATGTATGGTTTGAAGAACTGTGGAAAGAACGAGGCTTTGTGATGAGGCAGCTCCGTTCAGAACTGGGGCTGAGGGGAGGAGCAAGCTGATTAAACGTGGCTCTGCCCCTGCTCCAGGCACATGGTGGGAGTTTCAGAGAGGCAGATCTGGTACAGCAGAGGAAAACTTTCCAACATCTGATGCAGAAAGGATATGTGCTCTCCTCTTGGGAAATGGAGCTAGCAAGGGAAGACAGGGTCACGATCAGAACAGAGTGTGGTCTGTTTTCTGACATCCACATCTGTGCTAGCCCATCAACAGCAGACCTGGGTCCCATGCCTGCTCTAACACTCACCAGCTGTACCACCGTAGGTGGCCACTTTACATCTCTGCACTGCTCAGTGCCCGATGAGGCTTTCTGCTCCCGTAAGGAGTTACAGCCTCAGAAGCCCTATACAGGGTTGTGAGTCAAAATTAATTCACGGAATTGTTTGGTGTCGTTTGGTTAACATGAAGAGTAATACTACTTACATCAGGACTGGTGTGAAACTTACAATGAGATAACATGAAAAGGCCCTACACAGTGCATGGGACAGAGTAGACTACTCCGTAAAATTGGCTCTTACTCCAAGGTGTGTTTTTCTGGGTGGTGGGGAAGCCTGTTTCCTAAGCTCACTAGGTTGTTTTTCTTTCTTTCTTTCTTTCTTGTCTCCTTGTGATAGCAAAACCCAGTATCTGCATCTCCCATTCCCAGCGGCACCAACAGTCCAGCCCCCAAGAAGAGCACTGGCAGTGTTGATTATCTGGCCCTGGACTTCCAGCCGAACTCTCCAAGCCCCCACCGCAAGGTGCCTGGGGCTGAGGGGTGTGAGTTAGCGATCTCAGGACCCTAGAAGACCCATGGTGGTCAGGGCAGCTTCAGCACTGGACAGCAACCCCCAGCCCCTCTCCTGTTTAAGCACTTGTGACTCAGCTGAGTGCTTGGCTGGATCTCAGAAGCTCACATTCATTGGCTCTCTGTTTCTCAGAGCACAGGCACCCTAGGTCCCTAGAAGCTCAGCATCACCCAGTCCATCTTCCTCACAGCTCATCCCTTGTGAACACAGAAAGCAGTGCAAAGTGAATACTCTGAATCAGAATTGACTCAACAACACCCACCAACAAAGTGAATTCATGGCAGACCCAAGACTCAGGGGTCTTGTGTTCTGGTCTTGAGCACTGTTTTAAGGAAAACTCACTTTCTGAGAGGGTTCCAGAATGCTGTCATTGGTGCAGTAGCCTACAGAAGGGACTCCAGACTTAGGAAAGTCCCCCATGAGAAGCCCACTTACACTAAGCTGTGTAGACAACAGGGTGGTAGCTCCACCTCTGTGCGGTTCCCCCTCTTAGGGTACTTGTGAGGACTTGCCAAGGGAAGACAGGTAAAATCCTATGGGTGGTGCTTGTTGGTACCCAGAAATGTCCATCTCCTGGATGAGTGGCCCAAAGAATGTGGGTTGAAGCAGAGATGAGAGACCTGGATCCATTCACTAGCATCAGGGAAGGCCCTCTCCCAGGGGCGGGCTGCTATACTGAACAGGTGTTCAAGCTTTAAAGGCCATGTTTAAAAGACGAATACAGGCTCTGAGGTTGGTCACAAGGGTGGGCTCCTCACTGTACCGGGAACTCAAAGCCACTGTCACTTTCCTGCTGTGTCTCCTTAGCCATCCACGTCATCTGTCACTTCTGACGAGAAGGTGGACTATGTTCAAGTGGACAAGGAGAAGACCCAGGCCCTGCAGAACACCATGCAGGAGTGGACAGATGTGCGGCAGTCCTCGGAGCCTTCCAAGGGGGCCAAGCTGTGATGCGGGAGCCACTGAGCCTGGGGAGGGGCCAAGAGGCAACATCTCCAGAGCTGGTTCCTCTCCGTCCCCCCTCTTTCCTTGCCCCCTCCCATCCCTTTATTCTTCACTTTGCCACTCTTGGCCTTTAAAGCACGTGACATCAGGGACCCTGGACCCTTCCACTGGGAGGTGAGGGCCTGATTGAGGCCCTTCCCCGGCCCACTCTGGGTCTCCTTTTTGATTTTTCTCAGTAATGGCCATGCCTCCACCCACATTACTTAGGAGCTAGTGCCAAAAATATCCTCCAGCCTCTCCCTGTCCTTTAGACCCAAGTCTCTACCCAGATGTCGGAGGGAGGGGTTGGGGACGTGAGCCAGATTCCGCACCTCACATCCACTCACTACCCTCAGCCCTCTTCCCTCCAGCTACCTGGCCTACCTCTCCTTCAGTCCCAGAAGAGAAGTCATCTCGCTGACCAAGGACCAGCAGACCAAAGTGGACACAGACTTTTTATAACTGCTTTCCTTGGCAGAGAAGAGGAAAATGCCACTAAAAGATGAAATAGTCAAGAAGGCAAGCCAGGGTGGTCATAAGGGAGCAAATGAATTGGACCCCCAGACAACAGGGCAGTGATAATACCCCTCGCAGGCCCAGGGTATGGCAGTGTAGCTATAGCAGAGTGGGGGAGGCAGAAGAATAAAGGACAGACGGAAGGGAAGACTGGTGATGATGGACTGGGGCTTGAAACCCGGGAAATTGGAGTGACAAGGACACTGTGGGATCAGGGTCCCCAGAACTCTGGCACCATAGGTCCCCTCTGCCACTTTTTGATGCTACCCTAAAACAGAGCATCGTCTTTCCTAAACCCCTCATTGCAGGGTAATGTGTGTGGTGTGAGGGTGCCAGCGTGGTGAGGAGAGGCTGACAGTCTGTGAGCAGGAGGTTCAGTGTGTGCAGGTGGGGTGCAGAGTGGGAGTGATGCAGGGGGATGGGTCAGCCTGTGACAGGATCGGGCAGAGGCACTGGGCAGTACAGGGGTGATAGTGTGCTGCCACAAGATGGGCCGTGGTAAAGTGACAGAGCGTGAGATGCAAGGGAGTTAAGGCTGGGCTGTCTGTGGGGTAAGGGCACAATGCAGCAAGTGGGGGATACAGTGAAAGGTTCCGGGGGGGGCTGTGCCCGGGGCAGTGCCATGGGGGATGATGCCAGGTGAAGTAGAGCGACAGTGATCTGTCAGCTTAGCAGTGGGCATGGTGGTGCCGTAGGGCAGTTCTGAGGACTGGTCGATGGATAAAGCAGTTTGAGAGAGAAAGCAGAGAAGAGCTGTGCCCAGAGGATGGCATGGGAATATTGCTGGCAGCCTGTGCCATTTGGCTGGGTTTGTGCCAACTTCCAGGACAGGTTGCAAGTCTGGCCTGGTGCCAAGCCTAGAGTGTTTTCTACCTCACCTGACCCTCCTGGGGCCTGTAACTCCCTAGAATTCCAGGTTGCACTCAAACTTGGGTCTAGGGACAGGCCATCCAAGCCAGTCTTTGCGTGGCTTGAAAGGCTATCCAATCAGTATCTCCCTCCTTCCAGCCCAGCCACTGATGGGAGGCAAGGCATTGTCCAGGCTCTTTCTTTAATCCTAGGGAGGGGGAGTATCTGAATTTTTAAGTTGAAAATTCTTAACCCAATTTTCAAGAGATTCATAGGCAACTGGGCAGTCAGACGTTTCATCCCACTTTGGGGTGAATAAACCGTGTTCCTCCAAAAAAATGACTTCCCACTATGTTTGATGGCTATGGCTTTGTCTCTTTCAGCTCCTACACACACACTTCACCAGGCCAATGGCCTGACCATTCTCTAACAAGTTCAATCCTAAGAAATTATTTTTTCAACAAACGCTCCTCTTCTCCTAGCATTAATTCAGATGAACTCAGTGAGCATTAATTAATGGCTGCTATGACCAGGATCTGGGCCAGGCACTAAAAACACAGGCATTCCTCAGACCTTGTCCCTTGAGAAGGTCATAGCCAAGTGAGTAAAAGACAAGCACATGAGGTATTGTTAGTGGCCACAAGAGAAAGACGTAAACTACTGGTGGAGTGTAGAGAAGGTTTGTACTGGGGGTGAAATTGAAGAAGTGACTGATTGGAGAGATGGAGCTCATAGAGGGACATTTCTAGGAAAAAGGAGACATGAAAGTAGGAGCAACTTGGAAAACCTTGTACTTTGGGAACAAAACACCTTTGGGAATATGGGTCCAGCCACTCAGAAGTGATAGCCCATGCCCCTGTGTTCCCAGTTAAAATGGTGGTGGGAGCAATGACAAGCAGTGAGAAGATTCGCAGGGTACTGGCGCGCACTGACCAATCCCAGCAGGTTACAAGTGGGCCCAGGCATTGATACCCTCAGTATCTAACCCAAACAGCCTCCCCTCTTGATGTCAGGGTACCCTGCAAATGTTTGTATGCCTGAGTGTACCATGATGTGAATGAAACTGGAGTCTTCAGAGACAGAAAGGTTGAGCTTTATCTATAAGGAGACCTCCTTCCAGCACTTGGATCCTTTAACAGCCAAAACTCTTAGGGGAGAGAAGAAAACACAAGAAAAGAAAGAAGTTTGCCTTGAAAGCAGACTCTGATATGCAAGTCCCAAACTACCAGTATGTACCTCAGCCTCTCCCAAGACAGGAAAAGCTGGCTTAATTAAAAACAAGTATTTTAGCCTATCCATGGGTCAAAACCCACCTGGCCTGGTGGCCTGGGTAGGACTGAGAGCCCAGAATGGAGATGCATTCTCACCCAGCATAGTTCACACATGGACTCATCACTAAAGAAACAACCACCCTCACCCACTCCCAATTCTGCAAGGTTAGAGGAAAGTGAAGTAGGGACACGGGGAAGCGAGGGAAGGAGTGACTACAGGCTGTGGGGGGAGATGGTGTCTTCTGAAGACTTCGGTTTGTCTATCTGTGGAATGAGTGGTTGGATCAGGTGGTCTTGGGCCTCTTCCAGGACTGATTTTCAGTTGTTGAAGGAGGAACTCCATGCTGCTCTGTCTCCTCTCCCTGAGGGTCTGGGTCCCTAGGGGTGAGCAGTATGAATGAGGCCATCTAACCCAGTTCTCTCCCTAGCTTGATTTTGGTAACCCATGTTTGGAACCATTAAAATATGCCATATTTCTCGAACTGAATGAAGCACAATTCTGAATGTAGTGGAACATAGGTTTAACCTGTCTGCCTTTGGGCCTTTACTTGCCACTTGACCTAAGGCCTCAGTCTCCTGCCATGACCTTGACCTACCAACCCTACCCTCACCCACACCCCATTGACAGATATATGAAAGAAGAGTATAGGACAGGAGGAAAATTAGCACTCCCTTTCCCTCTCTGGGCCTTCATCTGTAAAATGCGGAGGAAGAGAAACTGGCCACATAAGGTCTAAAGGAACCTTCCTACTGGGGCTATCTTTCTGGGACTTGGCTAAACTATTTGGGACCCAGGGCCACAGTGGGATGCCTGTTGAGGGGCACATTAGAGATGCAAGTTGTTATGTGATATTTGGTGGTGTGTTTCCTTGTGTATTTGTTGGTTATGTGTGTCTTGAAATTTAGAATCATTTCGCACAGAACTGTCGCTCTTTGTTGGGAAGAGAAAATAATGGGCTAGTAGAAGCCCAGTCGTCAGTTTTTGTCCTGTTGCCATTTAAAATTGACGTTTAATTTTTCAAATCACTGTTGGTGCCTAATCACTTAAGTTATTAATTTATTCTTTTAAAAAAAATTTGTAACACGTATTTATCTTGTGAGTAGGTCTGGGGGTGGGGTGGGGACTTGTTGAAGTGGGTGGTATTTTTGCTGTGGTGACACATGGTACATGCCTGGAGCTTGCAGGTCCCTTTTGACTGTGGTGTTGGAGCAGGACAACAATAAAGTCCTTAGAAATACCAGCCAGAGAGAACTGTCAAGTCTGCCTTGTCTGATGGGATGGTGAACAGAGTCCATGCAGCCTCAGATCCCAGGTGGGGCTCACCTGATTGCTCACAGCTCCTGGTCTTACCATAAGATTGTGTGTAGGCTTTAACACACTCTTTGGGAACAACAAAAACAAAAAAATCATTTCAGAATCCTCACTCTCATGAACCCAAAAATGTCTGTGTGCAATCTGCCCCACTTTGATTTTAATAGGAAGTAACTGCTATAAGCGAGGATTTTTTTTCCTGATCTTTAAAATGGAAATGATAATACCATTGGCCATTTTCCTTGAAAGCATCCTGGACTGGGGGTCCAGAGCCAGTTTCTGAGTATGACTCCGTCCTCAATGGACTCTGCCTCCCCAGGACATTTCCACTGCTCCCCTAAAAGGGCTGGCATCTCAAGAGTCTAGGACATTTGGGGCAGCCCTTGAAGCCCCCGGTCACTGCCATCTCCTCCTTCCAAAGGGGTCCCTGCATCCAGGCCCTGTCCTAGGCGCCTCTCCAACTCAACCACCCCCCAGCCTTTCCCTAGGCTGCTATGACAGTCCAGCCCAGAGAGGCCACAACACTCCTGTACCTCAGCCAGCTTCTCACAGAGAAGGAAAGAGGGTCTTGGTGGCAGGTATTTGTGAGGCAATACAGAGTTCTTACAAAACCCTGGGTCTGCAAAAAGTCCCAATATATGTGGGGCTCCAGTCTCACAAGACAACAGGGGCAATGAGGGCAGCCTCATTTTACATAGAAGCCAACGTCCAGGAATGGAAGCATTCCCCCAGATCTTGCTGAGTGAGAGACAGTCTCAGAAGACCACAGCATTCCCCCACAGCCAGGAAATAGTAAAAAAAAAAAAAAAAAAAAAAACGTAAAAGAGCCGAGACAGTGAAAAATGACATCTTGAAAGGCTTCAGAGAACTTCTTTTTATTCCTGTTTCAGAACCTGGCTATCTTCTCTCCATTCTCAAGGGGCACATGAAGGCAACAAGTGCTCTGCACCAAGCCCACCCCACCCATTGTCAGTGCCCCAACCCTGTGCTCACCACAGTAGAGGCTAAAGGAACAGAGCAGCTGAGCCAGCCAGCTTTCCTCAGAACAGACCCTGGCTTCCTGAGAAACCTATCTGCTGTAACACAAGAGCTATCTTCTCCAGAAGGTTGTGCAAATGGTGGCATCTCAGGCACTATGGCAGGCTAGGGGAGAGTAAGTTTGGGGTCAAGGGTGTCTTACCATGAGGGGACTGTCCTCCCTACTATGCATCATTGTGTAGGGAAGTAAGGGAAGAGGACAAGTAAAGATGGAATACAACCAGATGTGACTGTAGTCTCTGATCCTATAACAAGCTGCTTCTCACCTCCCCTCCTCTCAGAAAAACACTGTAGATAGGCGCAGGCACCCACATAGGTTCCCTTTTAAAACCCCTCTGTGACCCAAGGTTTCTTGGCCCAGCCATTTGGGTATGATTGAGGCAGAAAAACGAGGGGCAGGCCTGAGGTATGGCCCACAACCCTTTGTGCAAGGGTTTGGATTCTGCTCTGCATTTACACTACAGAGCAGTGAAGTGAGTTGGAAGAAGCAGGACAGAAACTGCGTCTTAGTGACAGAGCCCGTTTCCGGAACATAATTCTAGGTTCCAGTGTCGGTAGCCTGCTAGCGGAGTGGGGGCCAGTGGGGAGAGCAAAGCCAGAGTGCCCGTCTAAGCTGCTTTTAAGTTGACCAGGACACTTGGGTGTACAATCCTAATGGGACTGATTCCAGTTTCAGGGCGTAAGGTCCAATTTAAGGGGCTTGGGTCTCGCCTCCGGCATAGTGTCTCCATCTACTCTTAAGGCTTAGGACCGATGCCCCCAAAGTTCCTTCTCCATCTTTCCTGCCCTTAAAAGGGTCTACCCTCAGCCCCTCAGGACTGGGCCTGCCTCCACAGGCCCCTTTAGACCCGGCAGAGCATCTCTGCTTGGCTTCTGGCTCCCAGAAGGCGTCAAGGCCTCTCCTGAGCTTGGCTGGGGTGCCCCACAGGCAGGAGCAGGCTGGGGGGTGGGCAGGGTTCACATTAGAAGACCAGTCTGTGGAAGTCACCACCATTGCCACCTGCAGGGTTGCAGCCCCCTGGAGAGCCTTCATCCTCATCCTTGTCTTTGTCAAAGCCCCTCCCCCAGTGGGGAGATGCCGGAAGTGCAGAAATGTAAGCCGCCCTGCTCCGGGCCTCCTTCTCCTGCTCCTAGGAACACAAATGGGGTGGGGGTGGGGGGCGGGGAGAAAGCTTACAGATCAGGCCCTGAAACCAGAGTCCTTCCTTCACTGCACACCCCCACCCCACACCCCCAGAGCCAGGCAGCACACACCTCCAGAGTCCCCAGCATCCTGTGTGATCCCAGCAGCTTTCTGCCCTGAGGTATTCTAGCTCAGTGGACGGATGAAGAGACGGCCCACTCCTCCAGCCTATACCCATCCAGGCTTCAGAATTCCTCCTCCAACCAGTGAAAATCCCCACCCCTTAATGGAACTCATTCATACTAAACTGTGAACTGCTGACGGCCTGATGCAGCCAGGACTGGAAGTTCCCCACATAGGAACCTCACCACAAGCTTCCTGACCATTGGCCACTCAGCGCACTGTCTTCAGGGGCACTAGGAGTGGGCCCACTGTGGAAAAGTCCTCCTGCCGAGCGATCAGATCAAAGAGCCCGATGGGTTTGCTCACCTGCAGGTAAAGGATGTTGTCTTTGGAAATGGCCTCCATCAAGTCCTTATGGAGGGTGGGCTCTGCCCGGACCCTGGGGGAGCCAGGCTCAGCCTCAGGCCCTTCCCCAGGCCTCTGCCGATAAAAAAGCACGTAGGCTGTGTCCTTGGGGAAAAAGGAGGTGACGTTGCTGACCGACTCAAAGGAGGAGAAAGACACTCGAGTGTCATTGAACAGGTACCACTGGTTCTCAGGCTCTGGCCTGTCCACAGAGCTCAGAGAAGGGGGAAGGCGGGCAGCCCCCTCGCGGGCGTAGCAGTAGTAGTGGCCACTTTCGGAGGACACGCCAGAGTGCACCACGACACTACAGAGGTCATAGGCCTGGCCCTGGCCACCTGCCAGTGGCAGGCGCAGCAGTAGGGGGATGGAAACATCGTCTAGGATCTTGCGGCGCCGCATGGTGCGCAAGTCAAAGGAGAAGCGCAGCAGCGTCAGGATGAGGTAGCGAGGCCCCTGGCTCAGCTCCACCGCCTTCTCGGCATCCTGCAGGGAGGCACAGGAATCGCAGTAGTAGCGGTTCTCCGCGGTCAGCCTTTCGGGAGACAGGAAGTAGTTGACCAGGTCCAGGACTGAGCGGGAGCCCTCAGGGCCACACACCTGCTCCACGGAGGAGGTGGTAGCATCCCTGGGGGTGCCTGGTCCGTGGCTGTCCACCACCTTCTCTTTCTCATCCTCTGCCTCCTTTTCCTTCTCCTTCTCCACTTTCTCTTCCTCCTCCTCCACTTCATCGTCCTTCTTCCCCTTCTCCTTCGTCCTTTCCTCATTGTCCTCTTCCTGTCCCACTTCTCTCTCCTTCTCTGTTTGCTCCACTTTTTCCTCCTCTCTGTTCACCTGCTGCCCCTCATTCTCCTCCACAGCCCCCTGGGAGCTAAGGCCAGCGATGTCCAAGACAGTGGGAGGGGCGTCCCAGGTGATGCAGTGTTTCCTTTGCCTCCTAGAACCCTCCTGGCTCAGGGTCTGGGATACAGGTGGTGGTGGGAGGTCCTGGGCTCGAACCTCCTCCACTGGGAGCATCACTGAGCCCAGGCGGCGGCGGCGGCGGCAGCGCTCAGGTGGAGGAAAGGCAAGGGAGAGGTCAGTGAAGGCCTCCTCCCTGCAGGAGACATGGAGGCAGCAGAGGCAGCGGATCCGAGTCACAATCTTGCCTCCGAACATTTTCTCCACAGAGGTTGAGCTTGGGCTAGGGTGCTCCTCAGGCGGGGAGGGCGAGCTGGACTGCTTGAGCTTTTGGCAGATCCTCACCCCAGTTTTCTCCTCCTCATGCAGCCTGGAGCAGGGAGCACAAGGTCTGCATATGGACACGAGACCCATCTTCTGTACACCTGCCTCAGTTCACACCCACCTGGACACATGCAGGGACAAGCTTGGCATATGCACATGTACATGGCATGTCAGGATATACACATGCACACACACTCACAGAGCTAGGCACACACAACACACTCACCAGTGTGCAGGCATGCACACGTATCACATAGAAACACTCCAATGTATGTACACATGCCCAAAGAGCAGTATGTGACAATGCACACACACACTTGTGCACATTGGGTATTCCTATTCAGTATTCCCCAGACTCCCCTCGTCTCACAACCCAGCCTCGTCACTGACTGCACACCACTACCCGCACCGGTACAACAGCACCCCCATTTCCGGGATGGAACAGAGCTCAGAGGAGTGGGGCCTTCCTCCTGGGAACCCTTTCCAGACCTGGAGCCCCTGCAGAGAACCAGGATCCCTGGCCATCCTTACCTATCCAGCAGGTACTTCAGATACTCTGAGCAGTCCTGCTGGGTGCCGGGACTGAACCAGGGTGTCCAGGAAGCAGAAAGGAAGTTCTCTGGAGAAATGGCAGGCCGCTGGGAGCATGGCATGAAAGACAGGAGCAGGAGGCCACTCGTCACCCAGATCCAGAGTGCTGGGACTGAGTCTACCCCACACCTGCCAGCTTCCTGACTGAAGTGCTCCCATTCCTATCCCATCCCACCAGGTCCACACATTCCAAGCAGGACATGGGTGCACAGAAATGAACAATGCTCTGCTCTTTCCTGGCACTCTTCATGTTTGATCTCCATGCCATCCCTTCCACCCTCAGTATCTTCCCTCATGAGTTCAAGGCCTGAATGCATTAAGTGTCACCTGTTCCATAATGTCTTCCCATGCCCCCTCCTCCATGCTAGCCCCCTCTCCCCTCCCTGCCCTGCAGGTCCCCAGCACACTGCATTTCCCAGTTGAAGTGCTATGCTTGTTCTCTGCAGGTCTGTCTGCATTCCCACTAAACTAGGGGCTCCAGGAGAGCAGGGACTGTGGTGAGCTCGTCTCTGTGCCTGGCCAAGGGCTGGAAGGTCCATCAGGGAGATAGTATCTGTTACCACTTTGTCCTTGACACCCCTCAACATGCCCGGCAATATGGGGGCTCTCAAAATTGACAATTGGATGAACACAGCAAGACCTTAGTTCAAAGGACTGGATCACAGGTGGGAGAAACGGGGGCAGTAGAGCACAGAAGTTCAGAGTTCACCCTTCTCTTGGCCTATGGTGGTGGTGTGCGATGGAGCCAGTTCCAACTCACAGCGACACTGTACAGGGTTTCTGAGGCTGTAAATCTTTACAGGAGCAGAAAGCCTCATCTTTCTACTGTGGAACCACTGGTGGTTTTGAACTGCTGACCTTGAGGTTAGCAGCCTGACTGTTAACCACTATATTACCAGAGTGCCTTTTCCTGGCTTTTCAGGATGCTGGATTGGCCCCACATGCTTTGGATATAAACCTGGGCTGGAGCTCAGCCACTTCATCTAGGAAGTGGGATCTTATAACCAGTGGAGGGTGGGACCTGGCAGAGTAAAGGGTGTCAGATCCAACTGAGGTTGTGGGGGTAGGGAAGCCTATCCTGTGCCTCCTTCCCCTGTCCAAACTCAACCCTCCAATCCCCGATCTCACCTGGCTGTGCTCTAGGAAAGCAAAGAGCCATTGCAGCTTGGTCATCAAGGGCTGGGAGTTGTTCTCAGTCAAACGGAGCACACAGTGTCTGAAGCTTCAAAATAGAGCAGGAGTGCCCAGAGTGAGCCAATGTCCCCCACGTAGCCACTATGCCCCCAGCCTGCAGGGATCCAGGGTTCCAAGCCATGGGAAGAGCAGAAATTTCCGGCTGAAATGGGGTCTCAAGCAGGGTGAGGAGGAGGAACTGGTGGACATGTCCTAGGTCAGGGAAGGGCAATGGCTTGGTCTGGATAACAAGGAGTTCAACTAGGTAAACTCTGCAGTCCCTTGTAGCTTGGACACCCCAAAGACTCTAATGTTTTAAGGTTCTCTAACCCCAGGGCTCTAAGGTGTGAACTCTGGCAGGACCCCAGAGTCTACCAGTATCACCACCTGCCACTCACAGACCCTTCTTCCTGTCTTCCCAGGAAATGGCCTTCAGCCAGAATGCCTGCCTTTCTCTGACCTCAACTCTCCAAGTCCATTCTTATAACCCCTGCCCCTAGGACCACCGTTAGTTACTATGCCCCTGCCTTCAGATGAGGGAGGCAGGGTCATTATGGGGGAAATGCCAAAAGAAGGGCTGGCCTGGTTCCTATTACAGGGATTGGATCTTATGAGAGTCAGAAAGGAGCCTCCCCTCCTGGAAGCAGCTAAATCCAGCTCCCACAGGAGCTATGGAGAGCTAGCTCATGAATTTCTCCGAAATAAGCCCAGTGATCAGGGACCACCTAACTTGTCTGTGACAAGTTCAAAAACTGAATCAACATCTAGAAACTTTTATAGCACTTGGGCAATGCTTCAACCATATTAGCACATGATAATTTTTCTGGTAAGTCATTTTTACTGTAGTTCATAAAAGTAATGATCTGCAACAGACTAGAAATTAGAAAAAATTAAACAATAAAAAAACTGGTCCATCCGTTTGAGAAGCACAAGCAGCATCACTTTAGGGGGGTCTCAGAGATCATCTCCTACCCTCTCCCACACTCAGAGAGAGGAAACTCACTGACTTCAGGTCACTGAACAAGAATCTAAGCTTACTTGTACTTGAAGAGGCACCTCATGCCAGGGCAAGTGGGAGCTTTGCCCTGGAAGACTCAGTTTACCCCAATGGACTCCTGGAGAAAAGTGATGGCAACCAACCCAGGAGAGACCCGTCCCCATTGTGTCCCAACCCAAAGCTCCTTCTCGAGTTTCCATCCAGTCTTGACCTACAGCCTTGGCAAAGGTCTATGGTCTCTGGGGTCCCTCATCAGCCCATCAGGTATACACAGACCCCAGAGAATCATGCCCACAATGCAAGACAAGACACACCCTCTTCAACCCCATTTCCAACTCTCCCGGTATGCATCTCTCACCAAGGAGCCCAATGAAGAGGAGCAAGGGCAGGGAAGTTAAAATCAACACCTACTCAGAAGCCATAAACAATGCCTGAAGGATGCTGTTGACGTAGCATGTGTTGCCCAGGTTGATTAACCCAATCTTGCCCGTGTCAGATTTGGCCATGAGCCGGGGGTAGAAGCCAGCCAGCTCACTCTTCTGTGAGGTCCACGCATCCTGCCCCAGCAGCTGCTTGATGCGGTCTTCATTGGGAACATGGAGGTCCTAGGAAGTGAACAAGCAAGCAAGGAAGTGGGCACCAGGATCAACTCCAAAATTACCACCTTCTCTGGGAAGCCTTCTGGGACTACAGCCTACCCTATACCCTTCCAAACACACCAACCCACAAATGCTCCACACATGTGCATGAACAAGCCCCTCTGCTTACAAATTCATTCCAGGTTCTTATCTTGACATGTGAGTCCCCTACAAGGTGTTTTGTGTCACAACTATCATAAAGTGGTATGATCCCTATTTTATAGATGGAAAAACTAAGGCTCAGATAAGGAAAGAATGTTCCAGGGTCATAGAGGCAATTAGTGAAGGATTTATGTCTCTGGAAAGGGCCTAGGATATGACTGACATGACAAGAAACAACACTGGTCCACCAGCCACATTCAGTAGTGCCAAAATCCCCATTCTGGTCCTGATTTTTCATCCACACTAACTGTGGTCAGTGAGCCTCCCTGAGCCTCAGTTTCCTCATTTGTCAAGTGACGCTACTCCTATGTATAGTTATATCAGTTTGGCATTCTATACTTCCATGGTGCTTGCACACAATGATGTTCCCACTTTCACCTTCTACTTTTAGGTTTGCAGGGCTGGCTTTCAAGAGCATCAGTCACCCCCGGGAACTTCACCCTATAGTCAGGACAGTGAGACATCTGGGGGTCTGAGGTATGGGTCCTTGGTCACAGGCTCGGGGATTGGCATGCTTTCCCTATCCTTTGCTTATTAAACAGCTGCACCTAAAAGAATTTTATCAAGCACTAATTCTAATCATGATCTTTTAAAGAAAACCACCAAAGCACAATGTAGTGTTAGCTCAGCAGATTTAAGTGACATTAGTAACAGTTCCTCTGGCCCCAGTCATATGTCCAGATCCCAAGCACAATGTCCTACACTTGTCCAAGGCGCCAGAGCTTCCACCCAACTTCTCATCAAAAGCCCTGTGTCCACAGTACATACACTCTCACTACTCTCAAGCTGTGGCTTCCAGTCTTGCTAACTCTTCTCCTGGGCCGTTTATCAGATAAATGAACAGATGAATCAGTCACTCCTCACAGATGATAAAAAAAATAAGTACATAAAGAGCTGCCAGAGCAGAGGTAAGAAGACAAAGGCTCAGAACCATCTCTCTTAATTTATTCTCCCCTCCCCAATCCTGCCCCCCACCCACAATATGAACAAATAGAGACAAAAAGACAGATAGCTAGACAAATCCCCACACAAGCACATGAACACATTTGAGTACACATACACAGATTTTTTTTTTTTTTAAGCCATACTAGAAAAAGAAAATCAAATGCTATTTTTCTTCCCCACCCACAAAAAGGTAACTTGGTTCTCTTAAGAAAAGAAAGACCTGGGGAGTCCTGAGCCCATGGACAAGGATACAGCCACAGAGGGCTGGAGCTGTGTGAAGGGAGGGGCGATGCACAAGAACACCCAAACTTGCAGATAGTACACATGTGACCTAGCCTCAATGGCTTGATGATCACAACTCAACTAGAGGAAGATAAAAAAGAAAACAATTTTTGATAAAGGAAACAAGGGTAAATTGCTACAATTCGATGAACTTGACCTATACTTATGGAGGTGGTGGTTGGTGGCTGTGTGCCATGGAGTTGGTTCTGACTCATAGCGACCCTGTACAGGGTTTCCAAGGCTGTAAATCTTATTGGAAGCAGAAAGCCTCATCTTTCTCCCACGGAACAGCTGGTAGTTTCAAACTGCTGACCTCGCGGTTCGAAGCCCATTTCGTAACCACTACGCTATCAGGGCTCCCTACTTATGGAGGTAGTAGCTCAAAATACCAACAGAGAGGGAAGAAATCTTCACATCAAATATCAATGTATCCCCTCTGTACACAGGGTAGACAGGGACGGGCAACTTAGACATCGGCTACTTAAAATGATGGGGCAATAAAGGCATAAAGTGACTGCTTACAAGGTTTCATGATGGAGTTTTGTTTAAGAGTGAGTGGGAAAAGAGTCCCCACTGAATAGTTTTCATCTTGTCTAGATGGGTCTGGTAAAAAGAGATGAGGATAAGATTGGTATGATTCAATAATGAATAATTGTTACCATGACTAATTGCAAGGAACAATTGTAAAGGTAAAAGTTTTGTAACAAAAACAGGGGAATAGTTAATCTTACAGTCCAGAAACAGAGAACCCTAGGACCATCAAGGGAAAAGAGCACAAGTGGAATGTGGGACCTTATCCAAAAAAGCAGCGACCCCACGGATGGAGGCAGATATGGGGACATGGAGAGCAGAAGAACCTGAGGACTCAAGACTCATTGAAAAGAGAGGGACTGAGAGATGGTGGCCAGGAGGTAGACTCACAGAATGTGCCCTTTGGTGGAGTAAATTATTATATATGCCTGAGTGTTAAAAAAAAAAAACAATTAAAACTAATCGAGAAATACTGTTAACTGATGGTACATGGAGAAGATTATAATCATTGTAATGAAACAATGTATATGATTTGTTGAATGTAAAACTGATGATCTGCCCTGTAAACTTTCACTCAATTCACAATGAAAACTTTAAAAAAGAAAAAAGAAAGTGAATAGAGGTAAATGCTGTTAACTATTGGTACATGGAGGGGATTGCAACCATGTAATGAAGCAAAGTATATGCTTAGTTAAATATAAAACTAATGATCTGCTCTGTAAACCTCCACTCAATTCACAATAAAAAGTTTTTTAAAAAAAGAAACCACTTCTAAACAGCTCTCAAGCTTCTGATGGTAACTTAAAATAGGATGGATTCCTCAGCAAGGATCACAGCTTCCCAAGAAATGGCCTTCACCTGGTACAAATGCAGAAAAGTAAGAGAGTGCCCCAGACCTATTTGTCAAGGAGCGTGTGTACAATAAAGGGTGAACTGCAGAACTCATGTGACAGGACTTCATAAACAATAAAATTCTCCAGCAGTGCTGCTATGGAGAAGATGCTGCTTTACCTCTCACACTGGGCTATACCAAGGAGTATTCAAAATCACAGAATAAACAAAGCACAGCTTCCCAGAGCTCTAGTCTCTAGTATAAAGTGTGTTTACATTAAGGCCAGTGTTTAAAAAGTGTTTTAAAGATAAAAATGAGATTCAAAACAAACTCTGGTCTTGGACCAACTCTCCACTGGGCACAAATCCTAAGCCTCACCTCCAGCCCCATCTCTCCCTAACCACAACAGGTAAGCAAGCCCCTTGGTTACTGAGGTTGGCCATCTAACCCACCCTTCCTTCCCACCCTAGGGCAAAGGAGCATCTTTCACTTACCATTCTGGAATTCTGTTTTCTTTTCCTTTGTGGCCCCTGGGGATTCCCCCTTACTGTCTTGTAAGCTCAGCTATATACTCACAAAGACACTATTACATGTGAACAAGCCTTTATAGGTATTTTGAGGTGGGACACTTTCCAGGTTCTCAAGTTGGCCCTACTGTAAAGACCCCTTTCTGCCCAGTAATCCCACCTGCCTTCTGTACCAGGTAATGGGAAAGGGTTCAGCAATCCCAAACCCACCGCCAACAAGTCAATTCCAACTCATGGGGCAGAGTAGAACCACACCCACAGGGTTTCCAAGACTCTACACCTTTATGGGAGCAGACAGCCTCATGTTTCACAGAGTGACTGGTGGGTTTGAACCACCAACCTTACAGTTAGCAGCCCGATGCTTAACCCACTGTACCACCAGATCTCCTTTTAGCAATACAATGTGTCTGGCTCTGGCTCTCACTCTGTAACTTTGTACAAACCATGAAACCTCTTCAAGTGTCATTTTCCTCATCTACAGAATTTAAGTAACAATAACAACATATCTACTTCATCAGGTAGATACATGAGGAAACCCTGTCAATGTGGCACCATCTGACAATCTTCGTTCTTGTCAGTCATGGCCTGATCCTAGCAGTCGGGCAAGCCCAGGTTAAAAGCCCTTTCTTCCCCGCAGCCTCTTTCTCACGCTGGCGGGCTCTCTCCCCAGTCTGGTTCCTCACTGCTCTTAGGCCAACCTTATGGACATTTTCACAGGCTGCTTAGATCCGAGGTATAAGCCTGTCCCCTCCACTATGCTGTAAGCTCCTCAGTGGCAGAGATTTGCCTCATGCCAGTGCCCCTAGTCTGGACCTGGTTTTTCCCGTGAACAATCCCTGCTCCCACCTGGGGAGGGGGAGGAGATGGGCAGGGAGAAAGAGACCCACTCTGTGGCAGATGGATGAACCAGGACAGTAGGCACCCAGAATGGCCCTGACCCAGCCTGGTGGGAGCAGGAAGGAATTGAGTGTCATCAGGGAAGGGTTCCTGGGTGAGGGAACACTTGAGCAGAGCATTAAAGATAATAGAACTTAGCAGAGGGTTTGGTTTGGGGCTTTGGTATCCTGGCAGAACAAGGGAAGGGTGTTCAGTTAGAACCAGCGATGCAAAGGCCCCGAGCAGTCCTACGAGAGAAGGCCCTTTAGGGGAATGGGAGATGGCTCAGTGTGCCTGAAACACAGGGTGGGCCTGGGGAGCTGATGGGGGCCGCCACCCACTTGCCAGGTCTGTGAGCAAACCCAGCCCCAGCACCCTTACAGAGTGTAGCAGAGTCGAGGATTGTCACTCACCTTGATGGCCTCCATGATGGGCTCGTACAGGTCCGGGAAGCCAGGGAACCGGAACACCATGCAGTGGACCAACTCTGCCAGCTGCTCCAGGCAGCTGCTCCCAGAGTTGGAGTCCTCCTTGAGCAGAGAGGCCACCATCGGGGGGATGTGGGGAAGGAGCTGGGAGAGCAGAGAGGCAAGCTTAGCATGTTTTGCCCACTGAGACACAGTGACCCATAGCTCCTAGAACTGGGAGCCCACTGTCCTCCCTGCTGGGTAGCAGGTGATTCTTTTTACATGTGACCTTAGACACGCTGCCGCAGTCTCTCATCTGTATAACAGGTTCAGTACTATTCTTTTCACAGGACTTAGGGGAGGCTTAAGCTCAAACCCAAGCTCAACCTGCTGAAGAGCCTGAAGGCCCAAGTGACCAGAGCCAGTCTGCTTACCCAGGAGGGATGCTGTGCCAGGGTCAGCTGGCTGGACAGTCCTTCCTGAGGGTGAGTGGCAGCCTTTCATGGCAAAGTCCATCATTCTTTCTTAGAAACATTGACATGTCCAGCACTTCAGACATACCAGCTCCTAATCCTCACAGGGACTTTGTTGTTGTTGTTAAGGCCGCTGAACCAGTTCTGACTCATAGCAACCCTGTAGAGGGTTTTTCAAGGAGCAGCTGATCAGTCTAAACTACCGACCTTGTGGTTTGCAGTCTAGTGTGTATCCTACAGCACCACACTAAGACGTCCAGCAGGGTATTTATGTCCATTTTATAAACGAAGAAACAGAAGTGAAAGGTTCCATTGTTGGCCAAGGATTTCACAGTGGGTTCTAGGGGAAGCAGTGTCTGAACCAGTCCACCTCTTTCCCCTAGGTTCTAGAATTTTCACTCTCAGTGCTAGAGGAGTGTCCACCACAGTGTCCCAGGGGTGGAAGGGTCAGGCCATAGGAGCCAGGAGAAGACTGAAGGAAACAAGTATCTGTCAAGTCTCAAGTTGTCCCCTCCAATCCACTCTCACCAGCCTAGGATTTTATCCCATTCTCATCTCCGAGAGGCTGTGTCTGGTCCAAGATCACCACAATTTGGCAAAGGGAAAGCTAGGACTCAATGCCAACACCCCAATTCCTGGTTCTGTGCCTTTCCCACTGCAGCCAAATAGGTTTCACTGGCCTGACCAGGGGCATTTGGAATCAAGGGCTCCATCTGCAGGGAGAGCAAACAGGGTGAGGAGAGCAGCTTCATGGGCACTCCAGCTGTCCTTCCTGAAGGAAGCCCCCAGAAGTCAGCAGAAGAGGCTGAGCTGGAAGTAAGATCATCTGGGCTCTGGTGGCAGCAGGATGGGAGGCACTGGGTTGAGAGGTAACCATCTTGGCATGAATCTTCTCTGTAACACTCACCAGCTGTGTACCTGGGATAAGGGATATCTCTACTCTGCAACTTCCTCATCTGAAACACGGAGAAAATGATAAAACCTTGCTCAAGAGGCTATGCTGGGAGTTCAATGAATGAACAGAAAGGAATCAACAGATCTTGCCTTTAGCACCGTGCCTGGCATGTAGTCCGTGCCCAAAGAACCTTAACTGCCATCGTTGCAGGCTCTGTCACTACTGTGTGCCTATAGGAAAGCCCAGGTACATTCTCTGGCCTCAGTTGGCCTTCTGTAAAGTGAGATCTCCAGTCTCCTCTGGCCCTAACTCTCCTGGACTTCTACCTCACAACACAGCAGGTTTGGGCCTCCTATGATGGGTCAGTGGGGATTGTGGAATTGCCTGTTCTTGGGGCAGCAAGCAGCGATCCTTACCAGGTGGAAAGCCTCATGAGAGTGTTGGAAAGTCAGGAGCATGTATTTGAGAACAGACAAGGCAGCTCCCCGGACAATGGGGTACAGCAGCTTGGAGAAGACCTGGAAGAGAGTCACTGGGTCAGAAGTCTCCCCAGCTGGGTCACCTGAAACCAAATGCAGCCACAGACCTGAGAGTGGGGCTTGGGCCTGGTCAGAGACACGCCAGGGTTGAAGCCACCAGGCCATGTAGAACAAAAACCCAGAGGTGCTCACAGACTTGGACAGATGGACAGATGGAGAAATGGACAGGAAGGGAGATAGCTATCTGATGGATAGATGGACAGACCAAAAGTAATAAACACATGCATACTCTAGTGAGCAGTCAGAGGAATGAATGGGGGGAACCTGGGGCCCAGAGAAGGGCAGTGAATAGACTCAAGTCACACAGCTAGCTTGGGTCAGAGCCCTGGTGCCTTGCCTCCTAAATCCACACTGTCATGGACAAGAGACTAGTGGGGAAGCCACAAGCCTGGGCTAGGACAGGGGCCCACCAACCTTCTCAATTTTGGCGAGCGAAACCTCGATCAAGATGCTGAACTTCTTAACAGCAGCCAGGCCCTTGAGCAGTGCAATGATCCATTTGTCAATGTTCTTCCCCAGGGGCCAGGACACCCAGTCGATCATCCTGGTGAGGGTAATGACAGTGACACAGGGACAGGGAGGCTCAGAGCAGCCCAGGGACTAGCCACACTGCCTCACACCTGGCTCAGGGCACTTGGGGTCTGTGGGGTGAACCAAACACCCTGGGAAATGGAAACAGAGGCACCTAGCATCACAAACCTCATCTACCACACCAGGGCTGCAAGGACAGAACAGGGCTTTGGGCTGTCTCTGTTTACACCCTAGAGCCCCATAGCAGGAGGCACATTGCCTCTGGCTCCTCCTGCAAGCCCTTGCTGTGTGACCTGGAACAAATCCCTTCCCCTCTTTGAGCCTCAGCAGCTTCTTCTGTGAAATGGGGGAAATGGGCATCTCACAGTGTTGTTGTACCAATTAAAAGAGCTAACAATAGCGAACATTTGTGTCATGGCCACTCTGTACCAGGCACTGCTCTCTGCTTGCTTTACACACATTAGAGTCATCGGAATCCCACACCAATGTCTGCAAACTGAGCACAAACCTGCCACCAAAAGTGGGCGCTCAGGAAAATGTCACCGTTCTCATGATTTTTATACTTGGCAGATGGCTAAAATAAGAAAGAACAATGAGTGTGCAAGGTAACAGTGATGCCAACTGCTTACATTTCTGGCACCTGTTGTACGCACTGTACTTGTACAATCTCATTGTATCCAGTTTAATACTCACAGCGGAGTACTGGTGTAGCACTGTGGGTGAGTTTGAACCCAAAGGTCATTGGGTCAAACTCAAAAACCCTATACGGGAATTGACTCAACGGCACTTAACAGCAACAATTATCCTCACATCAGTCCTCCAAAATGAATTCTATTATACTCCATTTAGAACTGAGGAGATGAAAACAGAGAGAAGGTAAGGAACTTGTCCAAAGTCACACAGGCAAGAGGTAGAGAGAGTCAGAATTTAAACTCAGCATAATGGTTATGATTGGGGCTGTTAACCTCAAGCTCAGTAGTTCAAATCTACCAGCTGTTCCAAAGAAGAAAGATGAGCTTTTCTGCTCCTGTAAAGCCTTGGAAATCCTATGCAGGGTTGCTATGAGACAGAACTGACTCCACAGCACATAACCATCACTACCATCAGTTTACCTCTAGAGACTACACTCTTACCCACTACAGACAAGGAAAGGAAACTGAAGAATCAAAGAAGTAACTGTACTATAAGAATAGGAAAAAATGTGTACATGAACCACCATTGGCAAGGTTCTCATCAGGAATGTAATAAAGACATCCTGATAAAAATGGAGAAAAATGTGGAACAGAACATCAAACTCTTAAAGAATCCATACTTACTGGACCCATTGAGTCTGGAGAAGTCTCTGAGGTAATAACAGTCCTGAGTTGTTCTTCAAACTTTGAACTGAAACTATCCATTGATGTCACCTTTTAACGATGTAACCATTTAGCCCAAAAAATAAAGATGATCATCCTTGAATATTATGTTACTTTAAAATTATATATATATATATATATATATATATATATAGTTATTAAGTGCCATCGAGTCAGTTCCAACTCATAGCGACCCTGCACAGAGTTTCCAAGGAGCAGCTGTTGGGTTTGAACCCCCAACTTTGTGGTTAGTAGTACAGGGTCACATCAGGATCCCAGTGTTCATATGCATTTGTTACTGTTGTGAAGTGCTGTCGAGTTGGTTTCCACCCATAGCGACCCTGTATAGGGTTTCCAAGGAGTGGATAGTCGCACACGGCACCCAACACGCAAAGCCAGACAGTGCACTCGGGCATGCACCTGCACAGTGCACCTCATACATGTGGGTGCACACTTGTATTCACGCACACACAGAGATACACTGGTGCACCACCAGATGGTACACACACAGCAGCATCGGGGACACACACATACACACACCCAGACACTGCACCCACACCATGCGCACTCTGACACACACACACAGGCATGTGTGCGCTCACACACAAACTGCACCGGAGACACAACAACACATGGCACCCAATGTACCACACCAGGGCTCCTCATATGCATATAGGAGTCCTGATGTGGTACTGTAGAACAAGCACTGGACAAGGTTGGTTTGAACCACAAGGTCAGCGGTTCAAACCCACCAGCCACTTCTTGGAAATCTATACAGGATCTCTATGGGTCAGAATTAACTCAATGGCATATATTGCTGTTTTAAGTGCCACAGAGTTGGTTCTGACTCATAACAACACTATATAGGACTTCTGAAGAGTGACTGATGGGTTTGAACTGCCCACCTTCTGGTTAGCAGTCCAGTGCTTATCCTACAGTGCCACACCAGATTCCATATATATATACAGTTGAATAGGTACTATATATATATATATATATATATATATATATATATATATATATATATATGATGTATGCAATTGAGTAGGTACTAACTCATAGTGACCCTGTTCAGGGTTTCCAAAGAGCAGGTGGTGGGTTTGAACTGCCAATCTCAGTTAGCAGTCCAGTGCTTATCCTACAGTACCACACCAAAGGTCAACAGTTATTTAAAAGTATATGCAACTGAGTAGTATCCAATCAACTTATGGAGGAAGGTAGAGTCTCCACTGAGTAGTATCAAATTGGTCTAGGTGGGGCTGATGAAAGGAAATGCGGATAGGTCTCTTGTGATACAATAGTGAATAATTGTTATCAGGACTGATTGTGAGGGTTGGAATTGTAAAGGTAGATGTTTTGTAGCAAGGAGGGGAGTGATGGACTTTGAGTCTAGGAGCAGAGGTCCCTGGGACCATCAGGGGAGAAGAGCAGAGAGCGGGACCCTACCCAGAGAAGCAGTGATGCCTGAGATGGAGGCAGAGACGATGACGTGGAGAGATGGAGCAACTGGGGACTTTAGACCCAGAGAGGGAGAGGGGCTGTGTGCTGACGACCATGGGGCAGGCTTGTAGTATATACCCTTTGGTTGGCTGATGATGCATGGAGGGGACTGTAACCATGGTAATGAAACGATATATGATAGGATGAATGTAAAACTAATGTTCTCCCATGTAAACTATCACTTAATTCACATTAAAAAATCAAAAAAGAAAAACAATGGGAAACCAATGAAATTTTAAGTAAAAATTTTTTTAAAAGTATATGTGAGATTAGTGTCACGATTTAATTGTGTCCCCAAAAATGAATGTGTAAGGTGACTGTGCCATAATTCTCAATAGCTTAGCCATTATGTAATGAGGTAATCATCCTCCATGATGTGATCAGCCAATCAGCTGTAAGAGGACTAGGGTGGGATACAACACTCTTACTCAGCTCACAGCTCCCATCCAACACAAAGGGAGCTTCCCTAGGGTATGGCCTACATCAAGATCTTACAAGAGATAAAAGGGGAAGGAAGTTAACAGAAAGACCTGCCTACCACCAAGAAAGAACAGTCAGGAAGAGCGTGCACTGAGAACCTCCTAGATTAGGGAAAGGCTCATGCCAAGACACATGGCCATCTCCAAGGAACACTGAGCCCACAGATGTTAAAAGGAGGCAGGAGAGCAGACAGAGAGAAATGCCTTCTCCTAGAGCCGGTACTCGGAACCCAAATGTGTAGCCTCCTGCAAGAGAATGACTTTGTTTTTTAGAGCCTTCCATGTGTGGTATTTCAGTGACAGCAACAGTAGAAAATGACGACAGCTGAGAAGCAGGAAGATTAAGTAAACAGAAATGACAAAGAACTAATACGTCACTGATTGTTATGCCCAGAATCTGGGAGGGGCATAGTTTTACTGTGTGTATTTTCACCAAAAATTCAATCAATAAAGAAAGGAAGCCAGGAGGTCCCTATGGAAAAAGTGGATCTGCATTCTTTCCATCAGTATGGAAAGAATGGCAGCGGAAGGAATGCCAGGTAATGGAGTCTGTATAGGCCAAGGGTAGATGGCATATCCTGGGAAAATGGACAGGAAGGTGTGGCTAGTTCACAGGTGAGATGATGGTCAAATGAGGTGGGGAGAGGGGGGTGTGCAAGAATACTGTAAGCTCAAAAGCACCCAAACTCTGTTTATCGTATTTGCCAAACCCAAAAAGCACTTTTGCCTTCTTATACAACCCACAGAACCCTAACAACTTCCTATGCCACCACCCCCTCCCCTTTTACTGAGGGAGAAACTAAGGCTCAGAGTTCATTAGCCTGTCCAGGGTCATACCTGGCTAGTGCCCAGCCTAACAGCATCACTAGAGCAGGGTTTTCTGTGTCCCCCACATCTAGCCCAGGGCCAGGCTCAAGAACAGACTGATGAACAAACAAACATGAGAACCTAGGCCCTCCAACTCAAAATCTCACCCAGCACTCCCAGGCAGTAGAGGGAGCTTCTGGAAAGAAGAGAGGGAGGACCCCTAGACATGACCACTGCCCGGCTCTCAACACCGCACCTGCTGATGGCAGTCAGCATCTGGGAATCCGTCACACTGTCATCATTGCTGAGGTTCCGGATGATGCCATCCATGAGCTCCAAGGGGAGGTGCTGGACCACACTGGCCAGGGCGCTAGATGGTGGCTCCTCCTCTGGAACAGGATGCAGGGCTGAGTTTAGCAAGGCAAGCAGGCCCCTCGCTTCCCCCATCACCCTATGCCCTCATGCTGCAAAGGAATTAGGCTGGACCTCTGCAAAATAAGCACTTAAGGGGCCATTTCCTCACCTCCTCCTGCATCAAAGCCTCTGGTTCCATGTTAACCCACTCACTCAAACTTTCCCGACACTGCTCTTATCCTAGTCCTGTGCTGTGGGTAAACAGGCCTAACACTGAAGCAGGTCACAACAGGCAGGATGTGGACTATGTGGACTTGGGGCGGGGGTGTGGCATACTCTAGGTGGAAAAGAGGCAGAGAGATGAGAATGACATATGGCCTTGGTGCTTCATCCTGCCAGGTGCATTTACTTATTTCAGTCATTTGCACTATAATACATATTTCACAGACATCAATGGAGGGCCTAGATTTTACATTTCATTGTGGAAACCTGCATTTCTCCAGACCTGGGACTCTGCTGGCTGGAGAACCTTACCCCTGCTGGCTGACTTTACCTATCTCTCTAGATTTGACTCAAATCCACCACTTCTACAAAAAACCACCCAACCCAACGGACATAATGACTTTCCCACTCTGTGTAGGCTCCTTCAAATCCCTTTTCCTCCATCTAGTCAGAGAGATCGGTGTTCTTCTCCCACAGCATGCAGGCTGCTCCTCTCTGCATGCCCAGTACCCAAAAAGGGTCAGGACCCACACAGCAGGCGCTCAGGATAGGTTTACCGAGAAAGAATGATCAATTGCATTCCTCCAGTAGTTCATCCAATCCACAAACACACGAGCCACACATGCACACGTGAAGAGAAGGATCCGGATGTGCACCCACCCAAGACCTGCGTGCGCATGTGCATCACACCCGCCCCACCCACACACGCACCTGTGCAGGAGATGACTGCGAACAGTTCCTTGAGACAGGGCAGGATGGCCGCGGGCTGTGCGCGCCACAGCTGCGCCAGGAGCCCGCTCACCTGCTGGGCCTGCTCCAGGAACTCCACGGCGCCCTCCTCGCCTTCGGCGGGGCAGTGGAAGCGGCCGAGGCAACGCACCAGTTGCTGACAGAAGAGCAGGCGGTGCGGGCCATCAGGCACGCATCGCGGATGTCGTGCCAGCAGCCGCGCCACCTGCGCGCAGGATGCGGGCCCCGGGCGTTCGCACACAGTGCGCAGCACCTCTCGCCGCAGCAGCGCGAACACCTCGTCCGCTGCGGGCCCGTCAGGCAACAACTGCAACCCCAGCTGAATGCAGGCCAGAGCGCGGGCGCCCGGCGGGCCGGAGCCACTCTGCAGCAGTCGCAGCACGCGGCGCGCGCTGAAGAACTCGGCGAAGACTTCGGGGTGGTGGCGGCCGGCCACGTGCAGCAGCTGACAGCCCACACGGCGCGGCAGCTCTTCCGTGCCGCTCATGTAGAGGCGCGCGCCCAGCGCCAACAACGCCAGGCACTGCTCTCGCTCCAGCGGCTGCCGCGCCGCCTCCAGTACGCGCCGCACCAGTCCTTGCTTCACGCTTGCGGGGTAAGAAGAGGTCACCACCGCCTCCAGGATCTTGTCCATGGTGGCTGTGCTGTTGGGACAGGGAGTGAGGTCACACTCTGCCCTACCAGCTTGTGGGGCGCAAGGGCTGTGATCCAGTTCACCAGGGGGTCCCCCTGTGTGCTGTGAGCAACTCAGACAATCTGGGCTTCCATTTCCTCATCTGTGAAAAGGGACAGTGATGCCAGCCACTCGGGAATTTCAAGATGAAGTAAAATGCAATGCCTGGCAGGGTCAGTAAGTTATAACTGCTGCTGCTGGGCTCTTTTATCTAATTGATACATATGGTAACATACGGACTCCACCTTCACCCTCTGCTCTTCTTCCCCCAGGCCTCACTAGTGGCCCCATCCACTCCTGAGGCAGTCTGGAGATGGATCTAGAAGCTGCTGTCCAGTCTCGGCCAAGTTATGTGCTATCAGGAAGATCTGGGAAAACAACGAAAATTGCACTACCTAGGGGTCAACAGGGTCCCAGGAGATCCTTCCCACCGTTCCTTCTTTTGCCCTTTCCCAAATAGCCTACAGCTTTTCAAGCCTTCAATTCTTTGTGCCTTTGCCTGAAATATCCTTTCTCCCACCTTTCTCTAACTACCCTATACTTTCACACAACCACACAAACTTATTTCCCTTCAAAGCTCATCTCAAACCCTGTCGTCAATGAGAACTTCCACGGTCGTCCAGGCATGAATCCATCACTACCTTCTATTCCTACAGCCATCTGTGCCCTTACTTCATCACAGCTGAGATTACACACTGCTGGGTTTGTTTGGGCCTAAGTCCCCTTCCCTGAAGCAGAGCATCTCCTCTTTGTGCTCCAACCCTGTACATCCAGGACCCTGCCTGCCTCTCTGGTCCTGGCGCATACCAGAGCCCATCACTCTTTCTCGGCTCATATGTTCCATCATCCACTGGGCCTTTGTGTAAGCACTACACACACACCCCATCCTGCCCTTCTTGCTTGGTTAACCAAGCAAACCAACCTCAGCTCAAGCTCACTTCAATTACCATGACTATTTGATTGGATTGAGCCTTCCCCTGCTATTATACATCGTTTCTAAGAGCAGGAACCATGTCAGGTTTTGTTCATCATAGTAATTTTAGCACCTGGTTTGCCACTGTGGGTTAATGTGCTAGACTGAAAGGTTGGTTTGAACTGCAAAGTCAGTGGTTCAAGCTCACTAGCCGCTCCTTGTAAATCCTAAACAAGATCACTAAGAGTCGGAACAACAATACAACAGGCATTTGAATTTGTTCAAATGCAGAATACAGTGTGTGTTCTTGTTGTTAAGTGTCCTGGAATCCGAGGAATGGCTGGTGAGCTTGAACCACAGACTTTGCAGTCCAGTGCATTAGCCCGCAGTGTCAGACCAGGACCCCTTCCCTCTATCCTTCCCTCCATTGCATTCTTTCCAGGAAACCTTCTTCCCACACTGACCTGCTTTCACTTCTGATCCTCAGACTGGTTCACATGAGTAGACTGTGAACCTACTAACAGCCAACGCTCAGCTTCTAGGAAGCAGGGCCTTTTCGTTGTACAATCCTATTCTAAGCAGGATCTGATAGAAGTCTTGGCATACAGTAGGTGGTCAGTTAAACTTACTGGCTCCAAGAAAACTACTTTTGAAACGTGACTGGTAGGAAGTTAAGCCAAAAAATTCCTGAAATGAGGGGCCAGACCTTTTGATTCAGAACCAAAGGCATTTTGGGACCCCAACTATTCACGTGCCAGCCCTTCTTTATCTTACCTTTCAGCCTTGAAAGCTGCATGTGTTACACTGCAATGGACCCATTTGTTTAAGTATCTCTCTTGCCAAATTGTGAGCTCTTCAGGGCAGGAAATACAGCTTATTTATCCATAGCTGGCATCTCCCATGCCAGTTACTGCCAATAGTGAGTGCCTCTTAAAACTACTTTGGCTAGAGGGGGGAGCTATGGCACTGAGCAGTGACTCCCAATCGGCTGCTTCAGAATCGCCTGTGCACTTGTTAAAGCAGCAGATACCTTTAAGTCTCCTGGACCTCGGGGTAGGTGGATATGGGGATGGAAGCTTTATTTGTTTATTACTCTTTGATGAAGCTGATCTGAGGTGCATTCTGGTTAGTTTCCAAGTTACATATGATCTCTGAACCTCTGTTTCCATCTTGCAGGGTTGTTATGAAGACAAATACAAGATCTTTAGCAAGGTACTAGGCATTAAGACATTCTTAGAAAATGTCAATCAACTCCCTTGCTTTAAAAGCCAAGTTCTTCTGCTCTTCAGGAGCTTCCAGTCTACTGGCAGGCAGACATGTTGGTAAAGAGAGTCAATGCAAGACATCATCTCCAAAAGGCCTTTCCAAGTGGCTTTACAGACTTATCTCCCTGCAGCCCTTAGTCCTCTCTTTCCAAGACAATGCCTGTGACAAGACAATTGCTAGAAAGCCAACTTCTCAACCTCAATATATTCCCTCACCTCTACTCCTAGGCTCTAGTGGATTTAATATGCTTGCAACCCAGGGTGCCGGGAAATCCGGGTACTCAGGGAGCCAAGGAGACACCCAAAGCAATGAGCTACCAGCAGCATGTATGGGAGAAGAGGGCACATGGGCAGCAGATATATAGTTCTGGAGCCAGAGAAGCATCTTAAAGTGGAAAGAAAAGCAGGAATCTAGACTCGACTTATTATCTGACCTTGAACAAATTGCATCTGCCAGCCCCCTTTTCTGTCAGGTATCCAGGTGATACTCGTTGAGCTGTATGAAAAGGAATGATCAAATGTTGACCATTTCCTATCATTCTGCCTTATACCTGTCACATAAAGTGGTTTGTGCCTGGCATCTGGGATTTTAGTCCGTGGATCTGTTACATGAGGTCTGTGATCTCAAAGGGCAACCCCGGAGTCTCTGTGTAGTCTGTGGGCCTGGCCAGACCAGTCACAGCCCTGCCGACCTGCCCCCACTCCAAGGCAAGCAGTCTGATGTCAGCTGTCACCATGGCCACCAGCAAGTCCACTCAATAATATCTTGGATGCATTTATGCAAAAGGGTTTTAGAAGCTTTTACCTCACCTGACCCCATTACAGGCCATGAAAGAGAGGTAGGGCAAAGTTGGCTGCTCCTACAGAAGAAATGGGGAAGCCAAGACTCAGAGAGGAAGAGGAACATGTGCTTGGCAGTGTGGGGGTTAGCTCCTGTGCTTGGCCTCCCCTGAGAAGGAAGATGCAGACAGACTACCAGTGTTCCTCAGGGGGGGAGGTGACAGTCTATCCACACTGGCTTTGATCCAAGAAGCAGCTGCCTCATACCAAACACAGTGGTAAATAAAGCTATGTCCAAGGTCAGCAGTTCAAAACTACCAGGTGTTCCACGGGAGAAAGATGAGGCTTTCTGTTCCCGTAAAGATTTACAGCCTCAGAAACCCTGTACAGGGTTGCTGTGAGTCAGAACTGACTCCACGGCACATAACCACCAACCACCCTCAAAAAAGCCTGTGTTCAAAGCTTAAGACTTGGATTCTCTGCTTCAGAATTGTTAACTGCTGTTGGTCAAGTTCCTGCCTGTCTCCTCACCTCAGCTTTCTCACCTGGAAAATGGAGTTGAGACAAGATGCAAAAAACAAAAATGAAGATTGGGCCATGAGTCCATTCATGGGTCATCTAGGCCCCGAGAGACAAAACAGACATTGTCAGAGGAAGGAGATACACACTTCTGATCTAGATGATTCTACAAGGAATTTCATCCACCTGCCTTCAATGCCAGTTTTACATTTCTACCATCTCCTCCCTGAGCTCCAGCCCCATTCAAAATCAGCTCTTCTTTACTTGTCACCTAGACTAGTATGGTAATCTCCTATGTGATCTCCCTCCCTCTCTCAATCCATCCTCGAAAAGATGCATGTATCCTGAAGGAAAAGAGAGGGCAGGCTTTGGGTCTAGCCCTGCCTCCCACACTGGAAGTGGGGGCTCCTTCATCTCTCTGAGCCTCTGACCCCAGGAGCTGACGAGGAGGTGATTACCTGCATACCCTTTACCAGCCCTGACTGCTGCTCCTCCCAGGAGGCCTTGACTTAACACGCCTTACTCTGCTGGCATCACATCCAGGAAGTCCCAGTAATAACTGACCTGCTCTTGAAAGCACACAGGAAAACCACACTCTCTCCCTTCAGAAGCTTTAGATTCCCATGACTGCCCCTCTCAGACGACCCTCTGCAATTTGCTGTCTACTCATCTCCATCATCCTCTAAGTACCCAGAGTGTCCACCAGCACCCCAACACACACACATAATTCCAGTGCTCTGCTCCAGTTCTGTGCCCCGACCCAGGCTTCATCATCCCTCTCTGGTCTCTCCAACCACCCTGCAAACAGCATCAGATCACCCTCACGACACTCCGTCCTGCCATGCCCCCGCTCAGAACTCTCAAGACTCCCCAGTCCCTTCACCATAAGGTCCAGACTCCCGAACCTGACATTCAAGTCCTTTTTTGTGACCCTAAGCTGAGGTGGGGCAGGGTGGTGGTGAAACTATAGGAATTTGGGAAATTGGCTTTTCCCAAATGACTACTGTATGGTGGTACCCTCTACTGGAAGAGGTTTCTCTCTCCCCTACTGGTAAATTCTGACTCATCCTTCAGTACTCGAACCAAACCAAACCTATTGTCATCAAGTGAATTCCAATTCATAAAGACCCTATAGGAACTGTCCCACAGGGTGTCAAAGGCTGCAATCTTCATGAAGCAGACTGCCACATCATTCTACGGCAGAGCAGTTGGTGGATTCAAACTCGCAACCTTTCAGGTAGCAGCCAAGCATTTAACCACTGCATCACCACTTAACCACTTCAATACCCAGCTCAAATGCCTCCTCCTCAGGGAAACCTTGTTCTCTGTAATTCACATCTCTGAGCTCCTGCCTCCCACAAACCTCATAGCTTCTCTCATCCCTCTGCAGAGTAACGGGATTCCATTCTGTCTTCTCGCCTAACTGGGATCTTCCTGGGTAGGGTACGCCCACTCTCCCGGCCTTTGCCCAGCACAGTTCCAGGCACAGAGGTGCCTGAGAAAGTGTCAACTGACTGACTGTAGGCATGTGACAGTGAGATGAGGGAAAACCAGGGATGTGACTAGAAAAGTACCTTCCAGGGACTGGCCTAAATCTTAGTCCAGTCACTGCCCCTTTCTCTGTTCAGACTGCAGTGGTCACAAGCAAGGCTAAAGGGGAAAAAAACGTTCCTGGTCACAAGTTCACAGAATCTCTGAGGGCACAGAGAGGACTGTGAGAAGGTCCCACTCAACCTCTCCCTATGCCAGGCAGAGGAGCCATCTGAGCCCTTGCTCATCACCTCTCCTCTCTAACCCTGGCACCCAGCTGGGACAGGCCTCTCCCTCCTTTGACTCCCCTTCCAACATTGAAAGCCTCTATTCCTGGCCCCTCAGGTCTCTAGGCAACAGCATCTCTGCATTTAGTAGCAGAACAACTTTACCCAAGAAATCCTGGGAAGGAGCCCCTCACTCTACTATGGGGAGGTCCTTGTCAAGACCACCAAACTGTCTCCTAGAAAGAAAAAGGTTTTGCAGGTAACAAGCAACTGCTCTTTTACTGAAGACAAAAAAAAAGTAAGAAGGAAAGAGTGGGGGCATGTATTCCTTCCTTAGGAATCCACCATCTTCACTACTCCCAACTGGGGTCCACCCCTCAGTACCTCTCTTGGTCGTACCCGCCCCACCCCAGGCTTTCTTGCAGGCTGGAGCTGGTGATGCTGAGAATGGCAACCCAATTCAAGCATTATCAGCCTCTGGCCCTTCAGTTTGAAGTCCAGCTCAGTCCCTCTCTCAAGTTATCCCAGTGCTCCTCCACCCAGGCTAGAGCTGCGAACCCCACAAAAGCCCCCCAGTACTGGTAGGAAATCTCCACACACATTTGATGACAGAGAAGGCTGAGGCCCAGAGAGGGTCGGCTACTCGCCCAAGGTCACACAGCGAGGCCCAGGATGCTCCCAAACCTACCGCCTCCCAACCCTAGGCTCTCAGAGCCCTACGTGCATCTCCGGGTCTCTCTAATGATCACCATGCAGACACCTCCCCCCGCCCTACATACACGCCCTCAGCCCCCTTACCTCCCAGACCCCAGTGGCCCCGGCCTCAGAGCTGGCTCCTGGGCGGGGCGCTCAAGCTGGGCAGGACTAGACTGGGCTGGGCTAGGTCAGGGCGGATCCTTAGCTCCCTGCGGGACAGGGACACCCTCCGCAGATCCCAGACAGCAGGGATGCTGCTTCCACTGCAAAGTCCAGTGTCTCCACCCTGCTCTGCACAAGACTGTACTCAGACAGCCAGACTCTGCGGCGCGGCGGCGGCTGCGGGATGCCGCGGGGGGAGGGGCGAGGTGCGGGAAGCGGGGCGGAGCCGGAGCGGAGGCCACCCCGCGAGCCACCACAAGGGCCGCGTCCCCTTTAAGGCCAGTTGGCCTGATTGCTAGTAGGGGCAAGGTAGGGAGCGTGGCTCCTCCCCGCAATGCCTCTTGGGAGATGAAGTTCGCTCTCGTCCCACTCAGTGGTAAAGGGCCCAGGGAAAACTACTCGTCCCCGAATGCAATGCACTCCTCCCGGGCCGCCACGCCCCTAGGCTGGGCTCCGGCCCTCCCTACCCCTTGCGAAGCTGCGCTGATCGCCCGCGGAGGGGAGATTGCTGAGCCAGGGCAGGAGGTGGGTGAGGCTCGGCCGGGGGCGCAAGGCACGGGTATGGGCGATGAAGGGACGCGTGCCTATCTGAGCACTGGTCGTACCGGAAGGTTATCTATTCCAGCCTCGCCGTTCCCATCTGTGAAATGGGGACGGCAAGGTCTGTGGCTTCGGGGAGAGGACCTGGTCGAGGAGAAGGGAAGGAAAAGGAGGTGGGGTTTAAAGAGGGGGCGGACCCAGTGGGAGGGGCCAGGATGTTTAGCGATAGTGGGAAAAGCCCGGATTATTAGGGTCCGTGCTGTGGGAGGAGTTTGTGGTGAGTAAGGCAAGGTGAGAAGGGGTCACTTGTTGGAAGGAAAAGGGGACGCCAGGACTAAGGAGTGGGTGCCAGGAAAGCCGATGAATCAAGTCTGGGTTGATTGGGTGAGGTGGGCGAAAAGCAGAGTCAGAGATGAAAGAGATCCTTCCTCCTTCTGGAGAACCCCGTGCCCAAGGATGCACAGAATACCTTCTTTTCCTTGTGACTAAAAATAAAGAAATCTTCCCTTGAGCTCAGTGCGTCAAACATGATCTCATTCAACCTTCACAGCCCTTAAAGTAGAGGCGTCCCCATGTTTGTTTACAGGTGAGGAACGTGAGGCTCTAAGAAGTGAAGTGATTTGCCCAAAAATCAAGACTCTTTGTCCAAATACGCTGCTTTTTCCCCCCTATACAGACTTAGTCTGAAGTGGGTGGCAAGGATGAAACAAGAGTTTAGATGTCCAGAGCTCAGTTTGTAAACCCTTCAGGGCCCCTTGCAGGTTATGTGATGACATCAGCTCCTCTGAATGCTGACATGTAAGACAGTCCTTCCAGGATTATTGAGAGACTTAAATGAGATGTATTTGAAAGGCCTTTGTTTATAATTGTGTGAAGCCAAAACACAAACCCTCTGCCTTCACCTTGATTCCGACTCATAGTGACCCTGTGGTGTTGATGGTGGTGGTGTGCGGTGGAGTCAGTTCCAACTCAGCGATGCTTTCTAGGGTTTCTGAGGCTGTATTTCTTTACTGGAGCAGAAAGCCTCAATGAAACAACTGGTAGTTTAGAATTGCTGACCTTGGGGTTCACAACCCAACTCATAACCACTCCACTGCTGATAAAATAAAACTGCCTGATAGGGCTTCCAATGCTGTGATCTTTACGGGAGCAGACTGTCTAACTTTTGGTTAGCAGGCAAGCACTATAACCACTGCACCACCAGGGCTTTTTTGTGAGAAGCAGGAAAACCAAAAGGAAGAGGGTGATTGAAATAGAATGCTTGAGCCTGAGGAAACCCACAAGATGAAGCAGGGGAATGCGCTTAGGGCGAAGGAAAATTCTGGAAGAGGATGGAAAATGATGGTGGTTGTTGGGGTTCTGCAGCAGATGAGAGAATACTTTTTGCTGTGTAAGTTGCGAATTCATGCCAAACCAGGTGGCTTCCCTCCTCCAGCCCACTTCTCCCCTTCCGGTGCTCGGCTAGGCAGCTCACTCTGGAGTCTGTGTCACCTGAGCCTAGGATCCATTTTTTCTTTCCCACCATGTGGGTGGTAGGGGTAATGGAGTAGTTTGTGGGCTTCTTCGAAATATGGACTGGACCAAATGGCCTAGGCATACTGCTGCTGAGCCTGTCTTTATACTTTTGACGTGTTATCAAAAGGGACCATTCTCTAGGAAAAGACATCGTGCTTGGTAAAGTAGAGGGTCAGCAAAAAAACAGGAAGACCTCTGTGGGATGGATTCACACAGTGCCACAACAATGGGCTCAAACGTAACAATTGTGAGGATGGCCCAGAACAGGAAAAGTGTTTTATCCTGGTGTACATAGGGTCTCTGTGAGTTGGGGACACCTAACAACAACAACAACATATTATCAAATTAATTATGAGTCATAGATTTATTTAGGAACAGATAGCATTTAAAAGACACATCATGACTGGCTTACAAGCTTTCAAGAGGGAGCCTAGATCCAGAGGGCGAGGAGGAAGGTAGACTCTCCACCAAGCAGTATCCAATCTGTCTGGGCAGGGCTGGTGAAAGGAGATGTGGATAGCATTCATGTGGTACAATAGTGAATAATTGCTATCAGGACTGACTGTGAGGGTTGAAAATGTAAAGGCAGACGTTGTTGTAGCAAAAGGAAGGAAGTGGTTGACTTTGCAGCCCAGGAGTGGAGGCCCCTGGGACCATCAGTGGAGAAGAGTGGAGTGCGGGACCCTACCCAGAGAAACAGTGATGCCAGAGATGGAGGCAGAGATGATGATATAGAGAGATGGAGTGGTTGGGGACTCTAGACCCAGAGAGGGAGAGTGGCTGGGTGCTGATGACTGGGGGGCAGGCTTGCAGGGTGTACCCTTTGATGATGCATGGAGGGGATTGTAACCATGGCAATGAAACAATATATGATAGGATGAATGTAAAGCTAATGTTCTCCCATGTAAACTACCACATAATTCACAATAAAACATTTAAATAAAGAAAAGGCGTATCATGGTAACTCCTGTTGTTGTTCTTGTTGTTAAGGGCCATTGAGTCGATCCTGACTCATAGCGACCCTGTATAGGGTTTCCAATGCTGTAAATCTTTACGGAGCAGAAAGCCTCTTCTTTCTCCACGGACCAGCTGGTATATTTGACTTTGAGGTTAGCAGCCCAACTCAGAATTCACTACGCTATCACAGCTCCTTTGGTTACTTTTGGAAAAACTTTGATAAGAAAATGTAGATAATATCTTAACTCTTCTGGCATCAGAAATTAATACATTCTTTCATTGAAAAAAAAAAAACAACCCAACAACTGCAAAGCCTTCAGTATGAGTTGCACTTCAATGTAAAGGAAACAAAAATCGTCAGTACTGGGTCAATAAATAGCATGATAAATGAAGAAAAGATTGAAGTTCTCAGATACTTCATTATGCTTGGATCCAACATCAATAGTCATAGAAACAGCAGTCAAGAAATCAAAAGATTTGGAACACCTAAAATGGGGCTACAGCGTGCCCAGTGAAGGAGGCTTCCTGCGGAGCCTCTGCAATACATGGGACTATAGGTGGAAGCCTGAACCACATCCAGATCTCCAGAGGCAGGAAATTCCCACTTAAAAGGACAAGCAGACCAACCTGGAGTGGCTAGAAGAATGGAGGATACTTCTTGAAAGAAAGACCTATGGGAGGAATATAAAGCAACGTGGGCAGACCGGCTGTTACTACAAGAACAAGCAACATGCTTGCCCAGAAAACATCAAGGCAAGTGGTCGGGTCCCCTCAGAGAAAACCCCCTTCCAAGACTAAAACTCAATGGAAATACACGCTGTGATTGGTGACCACGCTCGACACCAATAAGGAGAAATGAGGGAAAAACAGCAATGAAGCGGTGAGCTAAGCCCTACAACGTTCAATAGCCTTCTGTGAACCCGGGTGAAAACCTGGTTGGCCAGCAGTGTGGCAAGACCTGGGGACTCTTGGGCCCAGAGTCAGTGACATAGCCACAGAGGACTAGAGTGGAGAGTGAAGCATCCAGCTGATAAGAAGAGAGGGCATATGCATAAGAACACCCACACTTGCAGATAATATCTACTTGCCCTGGCTTCGATGACTGGATGATCGGAGCTCAACCAGAAGTAAAAAGAAGAGGAAAAAAAATATATATATATACATTCTCATACAATTTGATGAACTTGACCTACACCTATGGAAGCAGTGGCTCAAAAGAGGGAACAAGTCCTTACAGCAAGAATCATTCCCACCCACTCCACACACAGAGTAGACAGGGATGGGCAACTTAGACATTGGCTACCCAAAATGGGGGATGGGGGGCTACAAAGGCAAGAAGTGACTGGCTTACAAGCTTTCAAGAGGGACCCTAGATCCAGAGGGCCTGGAGGAAGGTAGAATCTCCAGTGAGTAATATTCAATCTGACTAGGTGGGGCTGATGCAACGAAATGCAGACGGATCTCTTGTGATAACAATAGTGAATAATTGTCATCAGGACTGACTGTGAGGGTTGGAAATGTAAGGGTGGACGTTTTATAGCAAGGAGGGGAGTGATTGACTTTTCAGTCTAGGAGCGGAGGTCCCTAGGACCATCAAGGTAGAAGAGCAGAGGGCGGGCCCCTACCCAGAGAAGCAGTGATGCCTGAAATGGAGCCAGAGATGATCATATGGAGCTATGAAGCAGCTGGAGACTCTAGACCCAGAGAGGGAGAGCGACTGTGTGCTGAAGACCTGGGGGGCACGGGGGAAGGATTGCATGGAGGGGATTGTAACCATGGCAATACAATAGAATGAATATAAAACTAATGTTCTCCCATGTAAACTGTCACATAATTCACAATAAATCATTTAAGAAAAAAAAAAAAGAAATCAAAAGATGTATTACATTAGGCAAACCTGCTACACAAGACCTCTTTAAAGTATTCAAGAGCAAAGATGTCACTTTGAGGACTAAGGTGTCCCTGACCCAAGCCATGGTATTTTCAATAACCTCATATCCATGTTAAAGTTGGGCATTGAGTAAGGATGACTGTAGAAAATTTGATTCATTTGAGTTAGGATGTTGAAGGAGAATATTAAAAGTACCATGGGCCGTCACAAAAGCAAACAAATCTGTGTTGGAAGAAGTACAGCTAGAATGTTCATTGAAATCCAGGATAGCAAGACTGTCTGTCATACTTCAGACAGATTGTCATGAGGGACCAGTCCCTGGAGAAGGACATCATGCTTGGTAAAGTGGAGGATCAGCAAAAAAGAGAAAGACCCCCAATGAGATGGATTGTCACAATGGACTCAAGTGTCACAAGGATAGTGAGGATGGTGCAGAACTGGGCAGTGTTTCAGTCTGTTTGGCATATGGTCGCTATGAGTCAGAACAGACTCAATGGCACCTAAGAGCAACAACAACTTTTTAAAGTAGATCACAAGGGGAGTCATTGTTTAGGAAGCAGTGAGTTTTCTGTTTATGGTGATGGAAAATTTGACAATGATTATTCATGATGGTTGCACATGA